GTTATATTGATTTATTCGTTAGACTTCTGTCCTCCTTCTATTATGGAAAAAATTAGAACACTCAGAGAATTTGAAAAAAATCTGTAATGAATAACTAAATTTCTATCACCTAGATTCTACAATTAACATGTTATTAGATTTGCTCTACCACACATCCATCCAGCAGTTCATTCCTCTATGTCTTAGTCCATCTTATTTTTTGGATGCATTTCAAAGTAAGTCGAAGACACTGGTAATCATATTAGCATGCATATTATTAACTACAATATTGGTTCTTAGTTTTTTTGAGAAGATTCGCATGCAATGAAATGCAGAAATATCATTCCATAAATTTTTTTTTTTTTTTTTGAGACAAAGTCTCACTCTGTTGCCCTGGCTAGAGTGAGTGCCGTGGCATCAGGCTAGCTCACAGCAACCTCGAACTCCTGGGCTCAAGCGATCCTACTGCCTCAGCCTCCCAAGTAGCTGGGACTACAGGCATGTGCCACCATGCCCGGCTAATTTTTTCTATATATTTTTAGTTGTCCAGATAATTTCTTTCTATTTTTTTTAGTAGAGACAGGGTCTCGCTCTTGCTCAGGCTGGTCTCGAACTCCTGAGCTTAAACAATTCGCCCGCCTCGGCCTCCCAGAGTGCTAGGATCACAGGCGTGAGCCACCACGCCCAGCCCATTCCATAAATTTTGATATGTACACATAGCTGTATAACTGGAACCTTATCAAGATAAGGACATCACCAGCACCCAAGAAAGTTCTTTCATACCCTTTCACAATCAACCTGTGACAACTGCCCTCTCCCCAAGAGGCCACCATTGTTTTAAATATTTTTAACTAAATATTTGCCTGCTGTATTTTTTATAAAAATTGAATCACACAATACGTATTCTTTCTGTAAGTTTTCTTTGACTTAACATGTTCTTGAGATGTCCACGTTAATTTACACATTCATGTTTTATTCCTTCTAATCATGGAGAATATTTCATTGTACTACTATGCCACCATTTGTTTTGTCATTCTGTTGGTAGAAGCTAGGCTTTTTCCAGTTTTAAGTTACTATGAATAGAACTGTTATGAAGATTCTTGCTTACTTTATTTTCTTGAAGTGTATTTTGATATTAATATACCTATACCAGCTTTCTTTCGGTTAGTTTTTGCATGACACATCTTTTCCCATTCTTTTGTCTTCAACAGTTTGGTGTTCTCATCTATCAGATGTGTTTCTTGTAAACATTATATAGTTGGTGCTGTGGTGTCAGCCTAGCTCACAGCAACCTCAAACTCCTGGGCTCAAGCAATCCTACTGCCTCAGCCTCCCAAGTAGCTGGGACTACAGTCATGCGCCACCATGCCCGGCTAATTTTTTTCTATATATATTTTTAGTTGTCCAGCTAATTTCTTTCCATATTTTTTTAGTAGAGATGGGGTCCCGCTTTTGCTCAGGTTGGTCTCGAACTCCTGAGCGCAAATGATCCACCCACCTCGGCCTCCCAGAGTGCTAGGATTACAGGTGCGAGCCACCACGCCCGGCCAATCTTTGTCTTTTAATTTGAATACTTAATGTGTTAAAAGTTTCATAATTATTGGTATATTTAACATTAAATCCACCATGTTACTATGTTTTTTTCTATTTTGTTTTACCCTTTTATGACCCTTTTTTCTTCCTTTCTTTGCCTTCTTTTAGATCAAATAACATTTGTTATTTTCTTTTTCCTCCTGTATTTGTCCGCAGCTATATGCAGTATGCTGTTACTGTTCTTTCAGTGGTTACCATGGAGATGATGACACACATCCCTGCCTTATCAGAGTGAACATTGTTACTTTTACCTTCTTCCAGACAATTCAAGAGCCTCAGAACACTTTGACCGTATTTATTCTCCTCCTCACTTTCATATCTCTTCTGTATTTTATCTACTTTATTATTTGCATTTTAAACTCCATGATGTTGCCATAGCTTTATCCTGTTAATATTCATTTAGGGTATCCACATGTTTACCATTTCATTACTCTTCATCTTTCCTCTCTGAATGCTGATCCGTTTTCCTTCTGCTTAAAGAATATTTTTTAGTACTTTCATTAATGTATGTCTACTGTGACTAATTCTCTCAATTTTTGTTTGTCAAAATCTTATTGCCATTTGATTGTCCTTCCTGAAGAGTATTTTCTCTTGAATGGGAATGGTGGGTTGGATTTATTCTGTTTCAGGACTTTGAGGTTACTGTTTTGGTTTTTGGCCCTCATCCCCTTTTTATTTTGTGGTTCATGAAGCTGGCTGAAGTCAGGCTAATTGTGTTACTTATGAAGATAATTTTTCCTTTATCTCCCTCTTGTTGCTTTCATAATTTTTTCTTTCTGTTCAATTTTCAGCAATTTTACTATGAAGTATACAGATTTGCATTTATTTTGCATTTATTTTTACTAATATTTATTTATCCTACCCATGGCTAATGGCACTTCTGGAATCTGTGGGTTAGTGGCTTTTATGAGGTTTTGAAAAGTAGTGTATTTGCTGCTACCCTATTCTTTCCCCTCCTCTGGGACTCCTATTATTCTCACTATCTCGTCTGTTTTTTTCCCTCTCTTCTCTATTTTTCATCTCTCAGTGCATCATTAGGAATATTTTCTTCTAACCTATTTTCAGCTCACTAATTTTCTCTTTAGTTGGACTACTCTATTGTTATATCCTTTGAGTGAGTTTTTAATTGTGATTACTGTATTTTTTTTGTTCTAGAGTTGCCATTTGGTTCTCATCAATAATTTCTAACTCTCTGCTGAAATTCTAAATCTTGTGTTTTATCTTCTCCAATATGGTGAGCATAGTTGTTTTAAAGTCTTTATCTGGTAAGTCCAATATCTGGAGCCCCTGTGTTTTTCCATGACCTGTTGTTTTCCTTCAATTCTCATTCTTGTTTTGTCTCCTTACGTACCTGGTCATGTTTTATAGTGTGTCAGACATATATTTGAAACAGTAAAAACATAATTTAAGGCCTAGGATATTATCTTTCTCCATAGTATTTACTCCATTTCTGCAGGCTCCTGGGGATCTAGCAATCCAAGATTACTTTAGTCCAATTTCAGGGTTCGAAATGACTGGAAGGTGAACTGCAGTTTCCAATGAAGATCTGTCTATCTTTGTGTCACACACATGTCTAGGATGCAGTTCTTTGGAGCCCCAACCCAAATGAGAGGGGCTCACCCCTTGAGAAAGCCTTAGCTCTAATTACCACTTCAGAAAGCTGGCTTCAAAAGTTAGGCTGACCTACCTGAGCCTCAGTCTTCCTCCAGAATCTGGCATCTTTGTGCTTTGCTATCTCATTTGCTCTAAGATGCCTTCAAAGAGATGTTTCTGATTCTGTTTTTCTAGTTAGAGGGAATGATTTATCCAAATTACTTAGTCTACCATTACCTGAAATAGAAATCATTGCCTTATATTTCAATGAACATTCTAGCCCCACACCAAATATAACGTAATAAAATATTCTTTTTTTTTTTTTTGGAGACAGAGTCTCGCTCTGTTGCCTGGGCTAGAGTGCTGTGGCGTCAGCCTAGCTCACAGCAACCTCAAACTCCGGGGCTCAAGCGATCCTTCTGCCTCAGCCTCCTGCGTAGCTGGGACTATAGGCATGCACCACCATGCCCGGCTAATTAAAATATTCTTATTTATTTGTCAACGAATCATGCCTTTTTTAAATGGCTAATATAATCAGTCTGCCATTTCATACATGAGGGAAATGATAAAGCTTTTCTACATATTTTGTGTATCATTAAAAATTATAACTACATAATTATGTATAATGTCATTCTTTATGGTATATTGACTACAATAAAATCACTTATCGTATAATGTGCAAAGATGCTAAATGATCTTTAAATCCTAAGAGGGTCAAGAAATTGTATATTTCTGTTCAAAGGTATTTGAGAATGAACTCCTCTGGCAAAAAGGGTAGGGGATGCTAATTTAGGGACTTGAATGCCAAATTAAAGGAATTGATGCTTGGCAGAGTGGTCAACATTGTTTTTAGGAAATCTATGCCTAGATGAAATGGCCTTTTTACAACTGAGATTGAAAGATGCAAAATCAAATAATTTTCATAAACTCCTTGAAAGTTTTCTTTTCTACTTTTTTTAAAATAATCTTTTGGCTTACTTAGGTGTTGATAAATGGTTTATGTTTTGTAACTGTACTGTTTTCCTAGAGTCTCTTCTTTCATGTGAGTAAATTATAGATATCATTAAACATATTTTTTTAAACCCAATAAAATAAAACTTTTTTAAGCTCAATATTTTCTCTCGGAACTTTATTTTCTTGTGTAATTAAAATCCATAAAGAAAAAAGTTAAGGGAAAAATAAAAGCAGCAAGAGAAATGATCACATTCCTATTAGCAACAATAATTATTAATAGTACTATACATGCCTAGAAATGAACATGAAAAGAAATGTGTAAATATGGAGTTTACATGAATAAAAAATTTTCTTGGTTTCCAAAGATGGTGCAATTTTAAGAATTATAAAATTCTACACAGAGTGGAAAAGCAGAATCAAAAATTAAGGGACCACAATTTTTTCTTATCAAGTGTCCCGGTACTTTGGGGAAAGTAGACCAACCCTTGACGTGGGAATACTTTTATTTTATTACTCAAGAGTTCAGAATCATGTCTCGAAGAGGCCCAGGTCATCCAATCTTCAGGCTTCAATTCTGATACTTTCCTCATGCCTTTGACTCATTTAAAATTTCATTTATTAATGATCATATTTAGATGCTCCCATTTTTTACATGTGAAATGAAAAATGAAATGAATCATCTGGTCATTTCAATACCAAATCAATTAATAAAAGAATTAGTAAAAGATGAACCTCAGAAAGATCAGATAATTCAAATTCTATTTACCTGGAGTTATTTTTAGACTAAATATAAATAATTTCTAACTTTATCTAAGAAATGCTAGACATTTTCTTCCCAATGACATTTCTCTAAATGAAGAAGAAAAATAGCTAGAGGCTGCCTGGTGCATTTTTCTTTTTAACAATAATTCTCTGTGTATACTACACAGCATGGCACATAAGTGATTTGCCAGTTACCGCATCTGTTCTGATCATAATTCTGGTTATGGATTAAGGTGAACGATGGGAGGAGGTAGAAAGCTAATCACCGATAACCATATTATTTTAGATCTACTTATGCTATTGATTTAATTTGTTTCCTTATGATGTCATTTTGCTCACAGTAAACGAGAAACATTGCCTAAACTATTGGCTGCTTTCTGCTTGCTTGGTGTTCAGAGTCGAGGTCACCAGAGCTTCCTAAGCTTCTCCATCAGTAGCCTGAGGATACGGAGATGGCCAACAGTGTCTGGTGGACTCTCCCTCTCACCCAGACCAGGGTATCATCCAGACTTTGCCATTTTATGTGTAGCAGCCACTTGTGATTTTTCTCTTTATTTGGGCATGGTCGGGAAGAAGGAAGAAGCCAGATTTATTTGTGGGAGTAAATTTTTTTTAAAACTTCTCCTTCGTGATGGCTGTGAAATAAAGAGCATGTCAGTTAGTAACTGGCGTATATAACAAACACAATTTTCCAGAGGCAAATTGCATCACTAATTTATATAGAGATGTTAATCCTCCTAGAAAAAAAATTATAGTTATTTGCTTAACAATCCTGTATGCCTCCAGGGTAAAAGTATCTTAAAAATAGGAGGTGGGGCTCCTGAAGGCTGCGGTGCAAGAGCAGAAGCTGTAAACTGTTTAACTGGGCAGTTAGTTCTCTGTTCTGGGACTCAGCTGTGTAATCTGAAAAGGGTTGGTTCAAAGCAAAACAAAATAAGAATTAGTTAATTAATAATTAAAACTGCATATTAATAATATCAGAGTCCTTCGACTCAGAGGAAGATAAAATCAAGCGATGATCACATAAAGGAGAAATGAAAGTTTGTTTTGAATTGGATGTTTTGTGAAGAAATAGATACAAAAATTTAAACTCAATTTGTTTAAAAATTCAGATCAAGAAGTGTCTAATTTTGCCAATAATGTTCAACCAACATTTACGGTATATATCAATTTGTTTTATGGTCTATTATGGGGAAGAAGAGAGAAAGAGGAAAAAGGGACGAGGAGATGTAGAGTTCTAAGGAAAAGAAAAAGACAATGAATGACTGCTGAAGGTCAGGATTCAACCCCCTAAAGATCCTTCAGGCTTGGATACCAGCAGGTCACATGACAACTCCTCTTTCTTCATGAGACAAGGCAGGAGACTTATTTCCTAGATCAACCTGCTGAACCCCAGCTGTGGGAACTTCCCAAGCTGCATGGATCTTTCTTTCTTTTATTTCCTATTTTTCTTCTTCTACTTCTTTTTAAAATTAATTTGTTATTTGGTTTGGCAAATGTTCTTTGAGTTTCTCTATGTTCTAGACACTGGAGTTGCCTCAGAGAATAAGCAAGACCAAGTTTCTGCCTTCACAGGTCTTACATTCTAATGGGATACAAACAAGAAAAATAAATCATTTTTTAAGGGAAAAAAAGATGCCATGGAACATGCTCTTAGGAAATAAAATGAATTCTTATGTGGTGCAACATCAGGTCATGATCAGAGCTATGAAGAAAAGTAAAGCCAGGTGAAGGGATAGAACATGACGGGAAGGGAGTGCTTCTTCAGTGTTTATTATTTGTAAACTCTCATAAGGTTATTCTGACCAGGGGAGACCCAGCAGCTCACTGGTGTCTGAATTACACTGCATTGTATTGCAGTAGCTGGGCTCTGCAGTTAAACTGCCAGCTTTAAATCCCGGCTCTATTACTTGCTTCTTTTGGGATCACAGGTAAATTACTTGTCCTCTGTGCTTCAGTTTTCTCATGTATAACATGCGGATGATCACTGCAACTACCTCAAAGAGTTGTTGCAAAGATTAAGTGAAAGAGTGTGATATAAAGTACATAGTATCATACCTATACTAACTTGAAAAGAAATGTTCACCATTATGATTAGCCATATTACTGAGTTATAACTGAGTTTATATACTTTTTTCACCTAAAATAAAATTGTGATAATTTCTTTGTCATTAACTATTCTTTGGAAAAACTATGCAGTATGTCGTTATGTATTATCTTTCACTTGGCCATTTTTATTTTTTATTTATTTATTTATTTTTTTGAGACCAGGTCTAGCCCTGCTGCCCAGGCTGGAGTGCAGTGGTGTAATCACAGCTCACTGCAGTCTCAAACTCCTGGACTCAAGGGATCCACCCATCTCAGACTCCTGTGTAGCCGAGACTGCAGGCACGTGCCACCATGCCTGGCTAAATTTTCAAATTTTTTAGAAATGGGGTCTTGCTATGTTGCCCAGGCTGGTCTCCAACTCTGGCCTCAAGTGATCCTCTGCCTCAGCCTCCCAAAGTGCTGGGATTGCAGGTGTGAGCCACTGCACCTGACCATTTTTCTATGATTGGATATGTTTTCACAATTTTGAAAATGGGTTACACTTCACAAAGTTCACATTCTCCCCTTGTCTTCCCATATTTAAACTAAAAAGAAAATAAAAATTCATGTTCTAATTTATGTTTTGCTGTACAATGGTTAATATTTTGTAATTTGTTTAATTCTAAAGAGATTTAAAAACCATTTAAAGAAGTTAAAAGTTGGAATCAGAATTTCTGTATTTAAAAATAATAAGTTAAAAGAGATTAAGATCCCTGTTATTGGACTCTTTGCTCAGAGGATTTTTCTCTCCTCTGTACTATGAGCTCTTTGGTCTATAAATGGATCTTGGTGCCTGGAATGGTGCAAGGCACATGATGGCTATTTTAAGGTTTTCCATAATTATTCCAAAATACTGGTTTCACTAAAATGAAATTTCTACCCAAAACTTTGTGAGGTCATTTTATGCCCACCTCTCTGGAAATGTTTTTTTTTATGAAAACAGGCATTTTATCTGTATTTATTAATTTTATTTCATCCACTATTTTCCCACTTAGGCTCTTTGGGTTCCTAAAATTACAGACAATCAACATGGCGGTGCTTTAATCTATCCTAGTTTTCAGATTTTATTGTGATCTGACTAAGTGCACAATTTTCTGCAAAGGACTTAATTTTATCTTGGAAACTAATTTCAACCCCCATGACCACTCTTAACTCTTTTCTTCATTAAAACAGAAAAGAATTTTTTTTTTTTTTTTTTTTGAGACAGAGTCTCACTCTGTTGCCCGGGCTAGATTGCCATGGCATCATCCTAGCTCACAGCAACCTCAAACTCCTGGGCTCAAGCGATCCTCCTGCCTCAGCCTCCCGAGTAGCTGGGACTACAGGCATGCGCCACCATGCCCGGCTAATTTTTTCTATATATTTTTAGTTGTCCAGTTAATAATTTTAGTAGAGACGGGGTCTCGCTCTTGCTCAGGCTCAACTCCTGAGCTCAAACAATCCGCCCGCCTTGGCCTCCCAGAGAGCTAGGATTACAGGTGTGAGCCACCGCGCCCGGCCAGAAAAGAATTTTTAATCGTGGTTTTGTGCCCCCTTTTCTGTGAGCAAATTGAGACATCTACTCCCTTTGCCTTTCTTGTGTGGTCAATAACCTATCGGAGTGATTAAGAGAAAATAAAGCATCTATTTGAACATCAGGTATATTAAAATTGTCTCTGTATTTGTACAAATACTTTATCATTCTTCATGATGTCTGATAAAATTAGTTATAGCAGAGTCAACTTCTGATTATTGGAGTATAGATTAGTCATTATGTAGATTAACAAGGACTAATTTTTAGCCGGGCGTGGTGGCTCACATCTGTAATTCTAGCACTCTGGGGGGCCGGAGGATCACTTGAGCTCAGGAGATCGAGACCACAGCCCCAGCAAGAGCGAGACCCATCTCTACTAAAAATAGAAAAAAAAAATATTATCTGGACAACTAAAAAGAGAAAAAATTAGCCAGGTGTGCTAGTGCATGCCTATAGTCCCAGCTACTTGGGAGACTGAGGTAGGAGGATTGCTTGAGCCCAGGAGTTTGAGGTTGCTGTGAGTTAGGCTGATGTCACAGCACTCTAGCCTGGGCAACAGAGTGAGATTCTGTCTCTCAAAAAAAAAAAAACAAAAACAAACAAACAAAATGACTAATTTTTAATTCAATATTGTCTTCTCGGTGGTGCTTAAGACATACTTGGCCATCTTCCTTCTGCCACTTAGTGTTTACTTAGAGAATGTAAAGTACATTTAATAATATTAGATGAGGCAAAACTTAAATAAGAATGCAAATATGGGGCACAAAATATACGAACTATAAAACTCATTACAAATACTTTTTGATTGCTTTTTAGTTTTGGATTATTTATAGCACTGTGTTTTGTCTGTTACTCAAAACAACTAAAAGTAAATGATATTGTTTTTATAGAAATCTCTTCTGTTGCCAAAAATTCTTACTTGGATAATTGGCAGAGTTGATGATTAACAGGAATCATTTATATTCTCTTGAAATGCAAAAGCTAACAAAATTATGGTAAAGTTTTCTATATTAAATAAAGCAGCTTCTTAAAATTGCTGTTGTTGTCATTGTGTTTGTTATCTGTTATTGAATTAGGCACAGACAATATGAACCATCTCCTTTTTGTTTTTAGTCTGACTTCATAGAAAGGAGGCTTATAAAAATTACTGTGTGTTAGATCTTTCCCTTAATGTTTGATCTATTTTAATGACTGGATAAATGGCCACAGGTTAAGTTAGGCTCATGCAAGTTTCTAATAGTAGTAGAAAAGTGACAGAGTTTGCATTGTGTAGGCTGGTATGGTTTAATAGAAAGAGCATGAAATTTGGAGTCAGGGTAGATTTCAGCTTATCATTTAGTTAATATGTGCTCTTTGACAAGGCACTTGATCTTGCTTAAGGTTCCATTTTTCCCCAACTCTGAGATAGGTCTAACGTTTTCTTTGTACTTACTGTGAAAATAAAAAGAACCATTTATAAAAACACTTTGTAAACTGTAAAGCATTGTATATTAGTTATTCCTATTAATATATAAGAAAAATTTTTGCTGGTGACCCAGAAACTGATTGATGTCATGGCTTCATCCTGGAGGTACAATAAGATTAAGAAGCAAGGGTGGTTCCATAGCCCTCAGCTATGTTGTGTAGAAATGCCTGGTTTCTAGAACAACTCACTGAATTTCAGTGGTAAAACTCTAGGAAAACTTCATTAGCTCAGGTCCTGTCTGTCTAGAAATTTATGATTTTCATTTCATTGAGCTAAAGCATACACATCTGGAATATTCATAAATGAATATTTCAGTATGAACTGAAATAATTTTAGACACAGAACATTTCTGAGAACAGAGAAATAATTTAAAGACAAACAGAAATGGGATACACTGTGGAATTAGAACTCAACAGCAGAATTAGTGCTAACTTACTCTTTCATGTTGAACGTGACCTCCCTTCTTCTTTCCTATGATGCCATCTGAAGAGTCCCTTTGTGCTTCTGAACCAGTGAGCGGAAGGAATCGTAGACTAGTGGGGCTTGCCACCTGGAAGTCATAAATAAGTTAGTCAGACTTTAAGTGATCTCTTCTGTAATATGAATTCAGGGGGTGAGGGGTGAGAAGGCCCACCTTCTTCAAATTACACCCTCCAGTTGCCCACTATTAATTCTAGAGAGTTCACCCTTAGCATCATTTGTTATCATAAATGTTTGATACCTGTTAGGATGAACATGTTCTTGACAAAGATAAGTAACTTTAATATAAAAGTTAAGATTAGGTTGAAATATTTGGTCTTTGGTTTATCATTTCCTGGGTTAATTAATAAGTTCTTTACCTGGATTGGAGACTTGAAGGGTACATAGGGATTTGGAGGGAAACGAGAGATAGACTGGTCCTCCGTGGAGGGGCCACACAGGCATGGTCACAGAAGTAACGGAGAGACCAGTGATGCTTAACGCATGGCAAGTAATTTGGTGTGGTTGGAGTATAGGGAGAGTATGGGGAGAATGTGGTGGAAAATGAGGCCCGATTGTGGAAGGTTAGTAGGCCAGGTTAAGGCATTGGGATTTTATCCTGTAGGTGATGAAGAGCCACCAAGGTAGAAAAGAGGCAAGTGATCCAGTCCATTGACTCACAGAACCCAAGACTTCTGTGGAATTGGACACAATACATTTATGGAAGCTTCGGTCAACTTAGTTACGTGATTTTCTCCAACCTTATTTGGTAGCCCGGGGTCAGAAATGAGATGGCATATTCCCTCTTGCTCTGTTACCATCTAGTTAGTCCCAAAAACATCCAACTCACCCTATATATAGGCAGAGAACCGAAAACAATCCCTGCCTCCCTATTTTCAGTCATAAAACCTTCCAGAGCATGTCTTCGAATCTGCAAAACAAAGGAACGTATGTTTAATGAAAAGGATGCATTCCATCAGTGGCAAAATACCTGGGTTCATATCCTGGCTCTGTCACTTATTAGCTGCATGATCTTAGGCAAGGTCCTTGCCTGTTGACTAGTTCCAAGAATCATATATATATAATACATATATACATAAATAACTAAAGTGCTATTCAAATGTAAGATTTGGTATCATCATATTATCACTGGTAGCAATATATAAAAAAGAAATTAATCACATATCATGAGTTGTTAAAAAAGAAATTAACAGAAAATAAGTGAAAAGATAAACATTACATAATTGAGAATGAAAAGGAATGGGCAAAACTAAGATACTGGTGAAAATCAGATAATCCTAAGTGAAAGGCATTTTAATTCAACTTCAGCATTGAACCTTTGCTATTTTACCAACCAACTGAGGTAAGCAGAGGGCAAGGCTTGAAATATTTGGAGCATTCAATTATTTCAAGGGCTCTAAAAACCTTTCTAAAGACTCCCCCAAATTTATTTAATGTTTCATTTAAGTTACTTCTTAAAAACATGATTTCTTACCTCTAAATTGAAAGAGAATATTAAAAGTGAATACCAATCTTTATTTCTAGCTTATACTATTTAATCCTATTAACAAAATTGAGTATCTGTTACATGCTATGTATATATCTTTGCTCATAAAGAGCTTATGATTTAGTGGTGGGGGTAGGAAGTAAAGGTAAATATGTAAATAAAAAAATTCTAACTTAATGTAGCACATGCTAAGACAACACGTTATGAGACACAAAGCAGGGAGAGATTGGGGCCTTTGAAGAAAGTGGAACTAACATTTATTGAGAATCTAAAATGTACTCACTTAATCCTCCAACTCTTTGAGGAATGTTCAGATGAGGAAAGAAATAAAATAACTTATCTAAAATTAAACCTAGGCCTGTTAGACTCCACACCCTGTTTCTTCCCTCCTTATCACCCTGTCTTTGGGGAAAAAAAGCTGAGTTCCATTTGGACAGAAAGTAGAGTTTTTGAAAATTGTTTTATTTGAAAAATATTAAACAGTCATTAAATATGAAGTAGACACTGTTAAAGAATAAAGACATACTGAACTTTCAGTGGACATTCATGGACTCACTGTCCTGCTTTACAAATTGGAACAACACCTTCAACTTTGAACTTCTCAGTGTACAGTTCCCTGGTCTCACTTCTGCTCATTTGACCTTAGGCATTAATATTAACAATCCATTAATAATAAGAGTCCTGAATTTTGTGCTTTTAATTCTCTTGCTTTTATTTATATAATTTTACCTTGTATTCTTCTTACCAAATATTTTCTTTAGCTTTGCCTATTCTTGACTTTTACATAAATGAAATTATGTATTAATATATACTAGTGTAAAACTTTTCTCATTCAATAAAATGTTGAATTCATTCACATAGGTGTTACTCTAGTTCATTTATTTTTATTGCTCTACAGTATTCTAATTTATGAATATGCCATAATTTATTTGCCCATTACACTGTTACTGAGCATTTAGGCTGCTTTCAGGTGTTTACTGTTACAAACAGTACTTCCTCTAAGCATTCCTGTACCTGTCTCCTGAGCACATGTTTGACGGTTTCCCAAGGGTATATATTTAATAGGATATGCCTATTTTCAGCTTTACTAGATAATACCATGTTGCTTTCCAAAGTGGCTCTACTTATTTACACTACTATCATGAGTAGATAAGTGTTAAGATTGTGCCAGAAAACACCAACACTTGCTATCATCAGACTTTTCTATATTTGTCAATCTGGTTTCAGTGAGGGATAATTGCTCGAGAATTCTGCTCTGCCCCTTTGTTTTTTGTTTTTTGTTTTTTAAATTTCAGAATATTATGGGGGTACACACATTTTGGTTACATAATTTGCTTTTGTACAGTTTGAGTCAAAGTTATAAGTGTGCCCTTCACCCAGAGAGTGTGCATTGTACCCATTAGCCGTGAATTTACCCATTCCCTCCTCCCACCTCCCACCTGCTTGATTTCCATTGAGTTTTATTTCCATATGTGCACATAAGTGTTGATCAATTAGTTCCAATTTAGTATTGAGTACACGTGGTGTTTGTTTTTCCATTTTTAGATGGATCTCCAGTTCAATCCAGGTTGTTACAAAAGATACTAGATCACCATTTTTTATGGCTGAGTAATACTCCATTGTATACATAGCACATTTTATTAATCCACTCATGTATTAGTGGGCACTTGGGTTGTTTCCACATCTTTGTGATTGTGAATTGTGCTGCTATAAACATCCGAGTGCAAGTGTCTTTTTTATAAAATATTTTTTTTTTCCTTTGGGTAAATACCTAGTAGTGGGATTGCTGGATCAAATGGTAGGTCTACTTTTAGTTCTTTGAGATATCTCCATACTACTTTCCACAGAGGTTGTACTAGTTTGCAGTCCCACCAGCAGTGTATGAGTGTTCCTATCTCTCCGCATCCACGCCAACATTTATTGTTTTGGGACTTTTTGATAAAAGCCATTCTCACTGGAGTTAGATGATAACTCATTGTGGTTTTACTTTGCATTTCCCATACGATTAGAGATGTTGAGCATTTTTTCATGTGTTTGTTGGCCATTAGTCTATCTTCATGTGAAAAGTTTCTGTTTATGTCTTTTGCCCACTTTTTAATGGTTGTTTGATTTTTTCTATAAATGTAATTTGTCACATAAATAGAAGCAAAAACAAAGACCATATGATCCTCTCAATAGATGCAGAAAAATCATTTGACAAAATTCAGCACCCTTTTATGATAAAAACACTTAACAGAATAGGCATAGATGGGACATATCTTAAAATTATAAAAGTCATACACAACAGACTCACAGCCAACATCATGCTGAATAGGGAAAAATTGAAAGCATTCTCACTTAGAACTGGAACCAGACAAGGTTGCCCACTATCACCATTTCTATTCAACCTAGTGCTAGAAGTCCTAGCCAGAGCAATCAGACAAGAGAAGGAAACCAAGGGCATCCAAATGGGGGCAGAAGAGGTCAAACTATAGCTCTTTGCTGACGGTATGATCTTATATCTAGAAAACCCCAAAGATTCTACCATGAGACTACTGGAATTGATAAAGAAATTCAGCAAAGTCTCGGGTTACAAAATCAATGTACACAAATCAGTAGCTTTCATATATACCAACAGTCAAGCTGAGAATCAAATCAGAGACTCAATATCTTTTACAATAGGAACAACGAAAATAAAGTACCTAGGAATATATTTAACTAAGGAGATGAAAGACCTCTATAGGGAGAACTTTGAAATACTGAGGGAGGAAATTGCAGAGGATGTAAAAAGATGGAAAAACATCATGCTCATGGATTAGCAGAATCAACATTGTTAAAATATCCATACTACCCAAAGTGATTTAGAGATTCAATGCAATCCCCATTAAAATACCAACATCATTTTTCACTGATCTAGAAAAAATAGTTCTGTGCTTCATATGGAACCAGAGAAGACCCTGGATAGCCATTGCAACCTTATGCAATAAGAACAAATTGGGAGGCATCACTTTACCAGACTTCAAGCTATACTACAAGGCTATAGTAACTACAACAGCATGGTACTGGCACAAGAACAGAGACATAGACCTATGGATCAGAATAGAGAACCCAGATATGAAACCATCCTCCTATTGCCATCTGATCTTTGACAAAGCAGACAAAAACATACACTGGGGAAAATAATCCCTATTCAATAAATGGTGCTGGGAAAACTGGATAGCCACATGTAAAAGACTGAAACAGGATCTGCACCTCTCACCACTCACAAAAATTAATTCATCATGGATAACAGACTTAAACCTAAGGCATGCAACTATAAGAACACTAGAAGAAAATGTTGGAAAAACTTATAAATATCCACCTAGGCAAATAATTTATGAAAAAGACCCCAAAAGCAATCACAGTAACAACAAAAATAAATAAATGGGACCTGATAAAATTAAAAAGCTTCTGCATAGCCAAGGACACAATCAATAGAGCAAATAGACAACCTACAGAATGGGAGAAAATATTTGCATGCTGTACACCTGATAAAGGGCTGAACTCAAGCAAATCCTCCTCCTTGTTTTTGACCATTTTTAATTGGACCTTTTTTTTTGTCATTGACTTTTACGGGTTCTTTATACATTCTATGTGCTAATCTTTTGTCAGTTGTATGTGTTACAAAGGTAGGCCACCCTGTCCACCTTGGACAGATGGAGAGAAATTATGGGTATGGCAAACAGATCCCAGGTGAACAAAATCACAGGAGCAGAAGACTGAGAGGAATTCTCAGTTCTAGAAATAACAATTAGTCTGATTTGTAGTCAGTGGGGTAACCATAGGTTAGTAATGGGAGATACATTTGGAAAGGTATGTTTGGTTCATTTTGTGGACTATCTTGAGGAAATCAATTTTTATTAATTAATGCCAGATCTTAATCTAAGGACTTATGCTATATACATTCTCTAGACATGTTAAAAATAGAAATAGAATGAACAGAAGCACACTTCTATCTGCACTGAAGAAAAATGTGTCTGTCTCTGAAAGGTAGAGTAATGGTTACCAAAGATGTCCACACCCTATTCTTCCCATTCCGAACTTGTGCATGTACTGGTTTACTTGGCAAAAGGGACTTTGCAGATGTGGTTTATGTTAAGATCCTTGGGATGGGGAGATTATTATCTAGGTAGGCCTAATCTAATCACATGAATCTTTAAAAGCAGAGAATCTTTTCTCCTGGATCAGAGGGCATGTGACCACATGGTCAGAGAGATGAAACATTTCTGGCTTTGAAGATGAAGGAAGGGGACCACAAACTAAAGAATATGGGATTTTCCCCTAGAACTTCCAGAAAGAAACTCAGCTCTGTTTACACCTCAATTTTAGCCTAGTGAGACCCATGTTGAACTGCTGACCTACAGAATTGTAAGATAATCAATTTGTATTGTTTAAGCCACCAAGTTTGTGGTAATTTGTAACAGCAGCAATAGAAAACTAATATACTACATTACTGGACATATTTGAATTCATGAAAATAAAAACAAAGGTTTTTTGTTTTTGTTTTTGTTTTTTAAAGCTACCTTGGGAGAAGAAAGAGACTTGAAAAACTTGAAATCCTGTTCCACTTCAAAGGCTTTGCGAGGTGTACGTTTGAACAGTAAAGACATTGAGCTCATATTCTTCCATCTACATATAAAGATACAAGAAAACATGTTAAGTATATACCCACACCTTTTATTCTCTGCCAATTAAAAAAATATCCGTAAGGACATTGAGCTCATATTTTTCCATCTACATATAAAGATACATGAAAAAATGTTAAGTACATACCCACACCTTTTAAGTACATACCCACACCTTTTATTCTCTGCCAATTAAAAAAATATCCATTATGTCTTTCTTTTCTGGTGCCCAAATTTCCTGGATCCCATGGCATCAGTCCCAATGATATTATCTCTGCACCTAACTTTTATTCCACTTTGCTTTCTAGGCTTCCCTCTATGGAAACCATAGCTATTTCTACCCAGCCAGGAGACTCCATGTATTTAAATTCATTAATAGCCATTGGGAAAAAAAAAACTGTATAGTAGGGATGGAGAAACCTCTTTTATAAAACTTGACTTTTGAGTGTCTCAGGGAAGCTTCCCCTATAGTCAATCTTAATTATGTATATATTTAGAAAGTCATAACTAAACATTCTCAAAAGACAATAAATATGTCCTGAGATGAAGTCATTCTACAGAAGAAGGCCTATTTTGCAACAAAGAAGCCACAATTATTTAGGAATAACAACATAATGTTGGTATGTGCCCTACATTTAAGCTATCCCAAATAGACCATACCCTTTCATACTTCTATATCTACCATTTACAGCAGTTCCCACTTTTTGTGATGTTCTCAATTAGTCATTCTTTATGAGTTCCACAAATATCTTTTGAGCTCCTACTGTGTGCTAGGCACTGAGCTAAGAACTGAGGACACAAAGATACACAAAACAGAGTCTCAGTCCTCAAATAACTCACAGTATAGTGAAGAAGACACATATTAATAAGTTAGAATCCATTGTCTTAAGTACTAAGACATACGGATGTTCAAGGCAAAGCAGTCACTCAAAAGGTAGGACTGATCAACTTTGCTTGGTGAGCTTTACCACCTCTTGATGAGGCTTGGCTCTGCCACACCACCTCTTACACCAGCCCTCCTCTCCAGTGCTCCTTACTGGCCAGCCAAAGCAAGCCTTGAACACTCTGACGGGGTTTTGGCAGTCATGTGGAACCCTTGATCTCAAATCTCTCGTATTTTGATCCAAATTTGTGTGGCCTCTTTCTCAGCTTTGATTCCTATTTACAGCCCTTCTACCATCCTTTGGATTAGATAACATTGGGTCTCCTTATCTTTGACTCACTTAGGATTTCCTTAAAGGACTTTATCTTTGACAACTCCCTCTGATTCTTCCCCGTTTGGACTCATCCTTGTCGGGTCCCTCAGTTCCAGTCTGCTGGATGTCACCAGTCTAGGTGGGTCTGGTCCCCTAGGGCTAGACACTGAGACATTCACCATGTAGGGTTAGTCTTTGCTGATGGTGAAAGGTCAGATGAATATCTGTCTCGTCCATTATGACCAAGGCCCAACCCTAGCCAAAACTAGGACTGAAATTTGCAAAAGCACAAAACAGCCTCTCACTAACATTCTATTCTCTGTCCTCCCTCCTCTAAGCCTTTAAGCATGCTCAACTCCCCCTACCCCACAAATAAGCAATTGCTTCTTTGGTCTTCTTTGGTTAAATCCTGTTTACCTTTCTGTTATTATTTTAAGAATTAAATATTCCCTGAAGTACTATTATATATACTGAATTATAACTTTTTGTTTATACATTTCTCCCTTGCACTGGATTGTGAAATCATTGAAATGTTCTGGGTCTTTCACCTTTGAATTCTCCATGTCCAGCACAGTGTCACAGTACCATGATAGTTTAACTCTTATATCTTCATCTAAAGAAAATCCAGTGGTCTTACCTTTCCCGGTCAAATATCAAAGGATATTCATATTTTTGCTGCTTCTCTGTGAACTTGCTTTCTTCTTTTATTTCTATGGGGTATTCACTAACATCACAAGGCAAAATGAAGTCAGTTGTCTGTGATAATTCAAAGAGCCTTCGCTGCCCCAAATATCCACAATAATGACCATTGAGAGCATGCCAGAGCCTGAAGAAAGATAAGGGAAGGGAGGAGAAAGTAACTGGAAAATTCAGTGGAATTTATTCTGTTCATTAGATCATTTGTATAAGATTTGCTCTGGCCCATCAAGGATTCTAAACTTGAGTCCAAGACTTCCTATTAAATACTGTGGAACTAATCACAATGTAAATATTTTTATCAGTTAGACTCTAATCTGCAACCTTTTGGGGAAATATTAATTTGAATCTGTACTTATGATATTCATTTATCAAAGCCAAAAAACAAGAAACAGATTTTTCCCAAAATAACACAGCCCACTAAAGCTAATCAGAACCCACATTGACTGACAGTCTATTAGTTGAACTAGGCCATAGAATGGGCTCTATCTCAGCTATCTACTTTTGGAATCAACATCAACAGAACTTGTAGGAATAGAGACCTAGCGATGCTTTCATTACTATCATATTCTTCTTAACCTACACCCACAATTGCTACTATTGTGGAAATACCGCACTGATTTTTACAACCAAGTTCTGAAGTCGGATGGCAAAAGAAGTGGCTCTTTATCCATATGCATAATTTCGCCATCCGTGTACTCCAAGAGGTCCCTCTTAATAGCTCATGTGGTTTAAAGTGATACAGAATACCATTAGCAGGCATGTATGCCCTATGTCATGTGAAAAGATAAAATAATATTTGGAAGATCTTCCTTTTATTTCTTGGTTTCAACTGCAGAGTAGTAAATGGTGGAAACAAACATCATGTGTTCTGCTGCAATGACCCAAAAGGAGGACAGGCTAAAGGAACTAAGAGTAGATTCTACAAAGTCCTAGTAGTGTTGCATGTCAAAGAGGTAGACCCTGAGGAGGAGGCAGAAACAGAGGTGTCCAGCTGGGACTCCTCACACTTGACAGTGTCCTGAGGACTTAATATGAGCATCTTATATCCCTTATATGTATTAATTCTCCAGCACTACAGAAATGTCATGGCCTTGCCAGAGCATTTACCAAAGGGAAATAGACCCTCCTTTTAAATGTAAAAGCTAGAAGAGTGAGGGACTAACTTCAGAAAAACTCTAAATTTATTCTGCTTTAGGCCAGGACTGAAGTGATTTTTGGTCTCCTTCTTTCAATGTGTTTCCTGCTACATGTGGAACTCCCCCAAATAACTGATCCTCCCTCTCAGCATCATTTCCTGGGCCTCAGGTATGGATCCTTAGATACCCTGAGCCTCATTTTTCCTCCCTAAACTTTCATCTTCAGACTGATTACTTGTCCTGTGTTCCAAAGTTAAGCCTCCATTATTTTTGTTTCCTATTAAAAATCATAATCTTTTTGACAAACAAGAGTTAGAATGTTAAAATTGCCTACCTCTTCAGAAAGTGGCAGCTCGTGTTTGCAAAAGGACATGGTTTAGTTATGAAAAGAGCCGTATTTAGTTATGAAAAGAGCCGGAGATAGCTATTAATAGAGCTAGGCTCTTTGAACTGAGTATCTAGGGAGATTTACACCCAAAGGAATCATAAAAGTAATTTCTCCATGCCAAGAATAACTGGTTTGAGCAGTGTGATGGTCTGAATGTTTGTGTTTCCCCAAAATTCCTATGTTGAAACCTAATCCCCAATGTAGTGGTATTGAGGTGGAGCCTTTGGGAGTTGTTTAGGTCATGGGGGAAGAGCCCTCATGAATGGAATTTCTTATAAAAGGGGCCTGAGGGAGCTGCTTTGCCTGATCTACCATGTAAGGGGACAGCTAGAAGGCATCATTAACGAAGCAGAGAGCACCCCCTAAGCAGACATGAATCTGCTGGTGCCTTGGACATTCCAGCCTCCAGAACTGTAAGCAAAAAATGTCTGTTGCTTGTAAGTTAGCCAGTCTAAGGTATTCTGCTATAGAGCCCAAACAGACTAAGATAAGCAGGGAATACTTGCAACAACAGAGGCATGTGCGTGTGTGGTTGGGTGTGTTTGTGTGTGTGTTTCAATCTCCACTTAACACTTCTGCTGCTCGAAATTAAGTTGGAGCAGAGACCAAGGGACTCAGTTCTTAAAAACATCTCTAATAATGAAATGTCATGTTCTTAATCTTTTCCTACAAATAAAACAGCAGATGTCCTTTCTGATGGAGGAAGTAGCTCTAGCCATTTGCCTCCAAATAGGACCTTAGCCCCCCAGATTCACCTTGAATTCCACATTTCTATAAGTTTTCCTTCATCCTTCCAACATTCTAAATATTGTCCTCTTTTAGTGCCTTCTATCTTGATGAATGACACTAACATTCACCTCGTTGTACATACCAGGTGTCGTTCTTGACATTTGTCACTTACCTCCCCTTTCAGTTAAAGTTCATGTCTTCTTGATGTTACCTCCCAGATAGCTCTTAAATCTAAACCACTTTATTTCCAGCACGGTTGCCACTCCTCTAATCCAAGCCGCTATATTCACCGTGGACTTCAAACTGGTCTCCTTGCTCCCACTTTCTCTGCCTTGCAACCCATTCCCCACACATCATCTTTTAAATATGTAAATCAGATCATATTACTCCCCTGCTTAAAATCCCTCAGTGGCTATTTCTTTAAGGGGAAAGATCCAAATCCTTGTCAATGTCTACTAGACACTGCAAGCCTTGTCCCTGCCTAACCCTCTATCCTCGAGCCCACGTGCTTGGCTAGCGTCTGCTGAATTCCAGTCCAGGGCCTTTCATGCAACTTACAGTATTCCTTCCTTTCTGTTTTTATTATTTTTAAACTCTTTAAGATACTTTGAAGTCTCTCTACCTCTCTTAATCTTACCTGACTTCATTCTTTTAAGAGGATAATTCATTAGTATGATTTTAAGACATTTCAATATACAGCAATTTGTTCTCGAAATACCACCACATTTCCTTTCTTTCTCTTTATATATGTATGTGTTTTTAGCATTTTGTGTATAGGTACTTAGCATTACCTAGGCAATTAAAAACAACTAAGCTTTGCAAAATCAATAAAAGTGTCAATGAAATAATTAGCCTGCTCACTTTTCTCAGCATTAGTTGCTCTTTTCTATTACTTTTTTACAACTTCTGATCCTGAGCCTCCTTCTGTGACTCTCTCAGGGCTTGGGTCTAACTCTCTGAGCTATCTATCTTGCTTAACTCTTTGAAATAATTCTACAAAAACCCACTTTTATTGAAAGTATTTATTACACTTTTTAACACAAATGAGTATGGCATCTCATTTCCTTGGGCATGGAAGAGGATTTCAAATCAGTGGCCACCTTCTTAAAGCCCTTTTGTGCTACCTTTTAATTTATTATCTATTTATTTATTTTAATCAGTTTACCAAGATTGTATTTGAACTATATACTTCAGCTTTAGCTTAAAAGCCTTTACCTCTCTCTCAAAACCCTGAATTCACAGTCTGAGGCCATCTTGGCTTACCTCACGGAGCCATCAATGGAGGCAGTAAGTACCACTTGTTTTTCTTCCACATAGATCACTTGAGTAATTTGCAAAGAATGAGCACGCCAGGAAAGCAGCTGCTTGAATTTCTAGAGAGCGACAATAAGGCATAGCCCTTGGAATAAGTATATGCTGGTAAAAATATAATCTTGAACAAAATCATTTCTCACTGAGCTAAGATTATGAGTGAATGGTGTAGACATCTGTGCTAGATGGTTAAGTCCCTACCCCCAATTAGCTCTTCTCTTGCTTGTTGGGGTACCCAAGGTCCCATTTTTAGAAATTTGTTTATCTTCACGTATCCCTGAGAGAGGCAGTATCTTATGTCCTTAGCAATTTATCACGTAATTGAGAATTAACATTTCATTTAGTTAGTGATTAGTAGATGGTTAGATGAAAGAAATGCCTTAGGAGAAAGTTTCAGGGAACTGAGAGTGAATATAAGCAAGAATAGAAGGAAACAGAGCTGGAAGATGAAAGCCAAAGATGAGATTGGCAAAAAAGACTTTTCCTATTTTCGAATTTATCTAGAAGCGGTGCTGGCGATTTTGTTCTTTCTTAGGAGTGTGGGGTGGGAGGTATATGCTACAAGGAATTAAGAAAGAGGATCATCCCAGCTCATTCCCTTTCAAAAACATCATGAGGCCTGATTGGTTATGTTTCTTTAGGATGTGGTTTTTCCCAAGTTTAGAGACCCTAATGGGCCTCAGAAGACATTCCAAAATTACATGAACCAGAGCTGTCAGCTGGGGAGCTTGCGCTGCAATAGTACCCCCTTTGAGTTTATTTCCTCTTTGTCATTGATAAACCTAGACTAATACAGTACTTCTTCCTGGATCATCTACCTCAGAGCATTGTGTGACTAGAGACCTGGCAGCTTCGGAGTTCTCATATAAGTCCCCTATTCATTTAGACTAGATGACCCATGAACTCTTTAACCTCTGGAATGCTATATAAATTTTCACAAATAAGTCAAAACATGAAGAAGATGCAAAGTGACCAGTGGTCTGGCTTACTCATTCCCTCTCTCTCCCTCACTTACTTATTCATCCTCCCTTTCCATAAGCAGACCATTGTTAATTGTCATGTAGCTTAAATTTCAATAATACATGTGCACTGAAAGTAGGGAGTCTTATATTTACATGTTTTGTGGCATCTAGCACAAAGAAATGCTCAATAAATATGTGATGATTCATTAATTAAAGTGGAAAACTGAAGTTCTTACCTTATCATCATGAGGTGGATCCAGGAAAGAACTAATACTGCAAAGGATAACGTGTCCTTCTGTATAAAATTTAAATATTAGAATCTTTAATTAGATACCATGTTGTCTAAATAAATATTACCCAGACTGCCAAGTTATTTTGATTCAGGCATTTATAATGGTAAAAAATAGAATTTGAGAAACCAGAAACAAAAGCAGAAATTTCACATAAATTTTTATATGTAGCAATTATTTTGCTTCAGGCTTAATAAGTCATGAGGAGGTGGCTATATCCATCCAGAGTCAAAGTTCTGCTAAAGATCAGGGTGGATGATAATAGAAATGAATACATGACTACCAGAGTCCAAACTATTACAGAGATATTCAGAGATATTCACCCTACAATCCAAATGATAGTTACAAAAACTAGATACTAAAAAGCAACAATGACTACACCTAGATATATCATATTTAAACTCTATGGAAACAAAGGTAAAGAAAAAAGTATTGAAATAAGCCAGATGGGAAAAAAAACGACAAAGATAAGAATTACATTAAACTTCTCATCAAAAACAACATAAACAAGAAGAGTGTAGAGCAAAATATTTAAAATGTTGAGAGAAAAAATACCCACCAACCTAGAATGATGTACCCTGCAAAATTATCCTTCAAAAGTGAAGGAGAAATAAAGACTTTCTCAGACAAACGAAAATCAAGGGAATTTGTCACCAGTAGATCTGCCTTGCAAGAAATATTAAAAGAAGTTCTTCAGAGAGAAGAAAAATGATATACGTCAAAAACTCAGATCTACTTAAAGAAAGTAAGAACATTAGACAAGGAATAAGTGAAGATAAATTAAATTTTTTGTTTCTTATTCTTAATTGATCTCATATATAAAAATTTGTACAAAGTAATAATAGTGATGATGTATTTGATGTTTATAGTTTATGAATACTTGAAACGAATGACAGTAATTCAGGTTCTCCTGACATTCATTTATTCTTCTATTTATTCAGCAGGCTGTTCATAACACTCTCTTATGCTCGAACATCCCACTTAGTCTTTCTTCTGTTTCAATAAATGCTGCATATTTTTCCTATAGCCATTTTTATACCATGCAGGTTGGTAAGATGCCTGTAGCTGATTATGTAAGAGTAATAACTTACCTACATTTCCAGCCAGTAGTACCCTGGTACATGAATCAGTATACAGCGACGTCAGAGAAATGGCAGAATGTTTTGTGAAGGGTAGCATGTCTTTCAGTAGTCTTCCCTAAGTAAAGTATAATGCAAATAAGGCTTTTTCTATGACAATAAATTCTATAAAATCTTAATATTGAAGTTGATTTTCTCTATAAATAACATATCTTAAAAATTATCTTCACTACTGAAACATGATTCTCTTCTGGTAATAAAAAATAATTTAAAGCCATCCATAGGGACTTATTTCCTGGAAATTAAATATTCTAAAGGTGTAGACAACTGTTAATTATAAGCATCTAGACTCGGATTATTATAGATTATCTCTATACTTGCGTTTTTTTTTTTTACACATCCATGATCCTTTTAAAGAGATTCTTCAGACCTTATTTACGATTACATATTCTCTTTTTAAACAAACATTTTTTCAGGTCTAAGCGTATCTCAATTGTTTTAAACAGAAATATTTGCCTTTTCAGAAGTATTTATTTTTGAATATTGGTGCAAGATGAGGGATTATAGGAGATTCAAATTCAGACAGATTGTTTTGCAGTGCTTAGTGTAAGCCAGCACTGGGAAGGGATCTCCTACGTATTATCTTGCTTAGGGAATAAACAATCCGAGCTTAAGAAGAAAGAGTTTCAATCTGCTACTCGTTTCCTGAGACTTTATTTTACTTCTCCAATTTTTCTCACTCTTTCATTTCTCTGTCAGAAAAATAAAAAGGCATTGCTCTAACACCAAAATCATCTCGGGGAAAGTTACTGTTAGAATATTCTATATTTTCAAACCAGGGGTTTCCCACTAATGCGCTAGGATCTACTGATAGGCTTGGAGCTTTATCCTGGCGGACAGCCAAGCCATGCTGTTCTGTGCTGTGGAAGCCCATTATCCGCCACACAAAACTGTGGCTGTTTTTTGGGTTTCCCTGTATGAAGGAGCCTTACTGCAAGTGAGGCCACCTCCCTTGTTTCTCCAAGGATTTCATTGTCCTCATCCCCAGGTTAGTCCAGATCTTTCTTTTCATCATCTTCTATCCTCCTAATTCAAACCCTGCCCCAAATCATTTATACTCAACATTTCAGAGTTCTTATAATCTTTTACTATAATACATCACTAATGCCCTTTAATATTATTTAAATATCCAATAAAATACTTAGCGGCATATATTCATAGCTCAACAAAAGATTTAAAATAGCTAAATTAGCAGTTTTGATGATTTGATCTGTTGAGTTATTATGCTGGCCTCTTCTAAAGCTTGAGTAGCATTATCAGGGTGCAGGCTGCAATTTGGCTAGAAGTAGATGCCATATGGAAGAAGGCTAAGATTCATTTAACTATCTTCTTTAAGTATCTTTTTTATCTTTCACACTCTTTCCTATTCCCAGATTTACTGGGCTCCATCACCTCCATAGTCCACAAGCGGAGGTGTCCGTCCTCATGAGCAGTGACAAGGATAGGTGGCTGAGCTTCTGGTAAATTGACACCTCCTGGATGTTTTTTGTCCACTGGCTGTTGCTCTCCCACCATGACATCTGCTTGCTCACCTATTGAAGAAACTAATGAGCTTCTGTGGAATTTGCAATACTTGGAATTCCAAATTTTATGGAACATAAAAGAGTAGGCAAGCAAGAAAATAGCAAAAATAACATATTCTTTTCCCTAGAATTTTTTTTAAACCCCAGAGAACACCAATCAGGGTAGAGAACAAAAAAGTATTAAAAAAATGGAATCCTGGATCCCTGGAAAAATCCAAAAAGCTTATTTTTGGTCCTATTGCAAAGATATCTATACTGTTCATAATAGCTAAAACTAAAACTAAATATTCATTCAGTATTAATCTTACACATCCAGAATGGCTTATAAATCTAGCATAAGTTTTAGAAAAACAGGCTAAAGATTAAGAAGCTTAGTAATATTTTGGATTCTAAAAAACCTAGAATTAGGATCTAAAAAGGCATCATCACAACGGAAATTTTGCCTCTTGGACTGGCGAATCCTAGAGCACCTCAACATTTGGTCACGAAAACAACATACATTCATTAAGAGTATTCTATCACCTAAACTTCCTGTTGCAAAGGAGTTGCTTTATTATACAGAAGAGAGGTAATTTCATACCGACCTTTAACCTCACTGTCATGTATGCTTTGCTTGCTTCCCTGAATTAGGAGAGAGAAAGAAAATATTTCTTTGATGTTAAAAGGAAATGAGATATACTGGATTAGTAAGTTCTCTCGATAGTCGAGTTCGCCTTTCTCAGAATTATTTTTTTGTTTGTTTTTTGAAAAAATATATTGCAGATATTTTCATGCCCAGAAATAAAGAATCCATAACTCAATAACATTTTTCTAGTGGCTCAGATATAGCATAATAATGAGAGTAATGAAATGCCTAAAGCATGCTCAGTTCTTGATGTATATTATCTGTAATTCTATTAATAACTATGCAACTTAATCCTTATTATTCCCTTTATTACTGGTGAGGAAACAGAAACTCAGATTAAGTGATATCTCTAAAGCTAATCAGATAATAAGTGGAGGACTTGGATTCTAGTACAAGTCTGTCTTTTATGCCTATTTAAGTTTATTCTTTCCACCATGCTTGCTGGTGGTTTTAAAATGATGTTAAAACCTTGAAAACTTTCCTTCAAACAAAATTCTAACTAGAAATGCAATGTGTAAAAATATGTAAAATTGGAACTGAGAACACAGTTTGAAAACCACTGCATTACATTATGCGTTGTAAAGTAATTACATTACCTGCTATCTCTTGTCCCTGTGAAATATATGTAATACTTTTTAGTAAAAGAGAAAGTCTAAAATTACTTTATTAGCTGACAAACGTAAAATAACATGCACAATTTATTTTATTCATGATCATGTATTGATTATTTACAGATGATGTGAAAGCTTTGAAGACATAGAAAAAATTGAAGTAAAGAGTTTAGGCATGATTTTGGCAGGGGGCGGGGAAACAAAAAAAGTTTTTACATATACACAGAATTTTCCCACCTTTTCCTTCTGTCAAAGGAAGGGCTCCAATGCTCAATATCACTATTTTTAAACCAATGTTGAGTGTAACAGGAGGACAGAACTCTCTCTGTTTCTTGCTTACCTTGCTACTCTGGGGACCCTTGCTAGAATCACAATGGGAGGAAGAACAAACAGAATCCTGACTTGATCTCCTGCAAGGGGAGGGAGGAAGCCCAAGGATGAAAAGTTAAAATATTCTATAATACTCAAAGGATGGTCTTCTCTGCTTTAATGTCAATTGATTGCTTCATTCATCATCTGTGGATACCGGACCACTCACTTATGAAACAAATCACCCCTTATAGTTTATGTAACAAATGGTAGTCAGTATGGGGTTGGCAGAGAGTATTAGGGAGCCTCAGAAAATAAGGTTCACTGCCGCCTGGGTCTGGAACGTAATAGTCTGGCCTGTCCACTGCTTAGGCTAGATTTAGTCCCGGAGGCTCTTACACTGAAGTGGTGGGGAGTGGTTTGGCCCTCCAAGTCTGTCTAACTCCCCGCTCTGCAGTGTCTAGCTCCAGCCTGATCCTGTCTCTGCCCGGTTCTGCAGAAAATGGGCTGAAAAGTGGCTAGGGTGTTGGTGCAGATGTATACAGAATAAGCTCTCAAAATATCCTCAGAACGGTTTTGATGAAATTTCAAGCCAAGGGGTAGGTAGGATGTCATGTTCTGGCTCACTGCTGCGTGACCCAAAACTAGCACAGAAACTTTTTTGATTTCTCTCCAAAGATATATTTGATATTGTCTATTGCCTGTAAACCAGAGCTCTCAAGCAAATATAAATAGGAAAAAATACTTTTTCTTAAATACTTAAAAAACAACCCCCTGCTCCCTCAGAAATGGATGGTGATTGCTCCAGTTATAGTGGCTGGTATATGACACCTCTTGCCAGATGATATTCCATACTTACCCTGGAAGCCCGTCCTTCCTTTTTTACATCAGTGCTCATAGCATTAGATTTTGGCTAAAAGTGTGGCCAAGTGAGCATTTTTCCATTTCTGTTACTGTAAGACTGACATGGTAAGGGGACCACGTAGCATATTAGATCCCTGAAGACTACCCACCTACAAAACAACAGTAACTGGGAAGAAAGCTGAAGCCAAGTAGTCAATCCAACTTACGTCTTCCTTCAGTTGTACCTTCCTTAATGCTGGGATGAAGAGAACTCTTTTTATATAACACACATAAGTCCCAGACACTATCCCTTGATCATTAAGTACTGAGTTACCTTGCACATTCAGGGGTACGGAAGAGGAACATTATGTCATTAATTCTAAAGCGCTTGGGATCCGAGTCCGGGTCCACAGTGAAGCAGTCTTCAGGTCGGTACCTGGAAATAAGTATACGTTTACATAATAAAAATTCACAAATTAGGTAGCTTACACTACTTTTATAGATCCCCTGCAGAACTAATGGATTCCTCCAATATGGATATCATTGAACATGAAAAGAAAACCCAGGGGAGTAGAGTTTGAACATATCTTTAATAAGATTCTGTATAACAACATGATCATTAGCAGTTTAAAACTCTTTTCGTTCAATTAATTGGTCTAGTCTTCCTGCCTATAGGTCAGACAGCGGGGCTTATGTAGTCCTATGGAGGAATCTCTTGGAAGTTTCATACAGTTTGAAGAATAGAATTCTACTCTTTGAATAAGTGGAGTGACAAATTTGAATAAAATATGGTTATTACCCCCAAGGAGTTTATAATCGAGTGGAGAAAGACAGGTCATTCCGTGATAACACTGCTGTTGGCCCAGATTCTAAGGAGCCTGCACCTTTCTGGGCAGTTTCCGGGGAACAGAGCAACAGTCCCTAAACACCTGTGCTTCACGCTTGGCGCTTAAGGCATTCCTTATTACAAATAGACTTTATAGCAAAATTTGCCTTTTGCTTTAATGGAAATTACTTCTGATTTGAGCTGATGAGTGATGAAGGAGCATCGCGGAAAGTGAACCAAACTCAGAAGGCTATGGGCTTGATGTCTTGTTGAGCTCAAATTTTTTTTGCTATTTCTGCTCTGCAGATGAGCTGAATGATGAAGTAGATTACTAATCAACAAGAACAATATTGAGTTTGGGGCTTAGAGCAGGGTTATTTCACCTGATTGGTGAAGTGGTCTTAGGCAAAGTTTGAGGTAGACATAGAGATGGCCTCCACCTTGAAAATGGAAACTGTTTTCAATTTTAGAACTGTTAATGCTGGGCCTAAATTACCTTCCACAATTCTGTGCTAAATTATATGTTTTGAGAAATACTGCAGTGATTCCAAATCAATTGTTTTTATATAATCATCCATGTGTGTTTTTCTCTGATTGGGTATTGAATTTGCGTCATCCCTAGGCAAAATGCCTAGCACTTCAACAAGGAGGATCTGCACCTTTGAATTATTGTATTATTTGGATTAATTTGGATTATTTTCATGGAATTGCCCCCTCTTAAGGCTGTGGCATCAAGATTCTGGTCTTTTTAGTCTGTCTGCTTTCCCTCTTTAGTAGTGAGTCTTACATAAGCTGACACTTACAGTGTGAGAACACTAATAAGAGGGCGAGGAAGTGTGCGGAGCATAGAGGTGTGGGTATAAAATGACAAGTATACAGTCTGTGAGAAAAACTGAAGGGCAAGGGCTGAAGAGAGGGAAAAGGAGGATGACAGGAATTCTAGGAGCAGGGCCAGGGGCACATGGGCTGAAGTGCAGAGAGAGGGGACTGTAGAAAAAGCTGTTTCAACTAAAGCTTCAGTAAGATAAATTCAGAGTCCAAACAAGAAGAGATTATTTCCTCTCAAAAGCCAGCTGAAAGTAATGACTCAGACCTGGATTGGAAAGGGGTATGGGGTCCAGGTGGACCAGTAGCATGTAAAGTATTGCAAATAGAGAGGCAGAGCTTTCCTTTGTCTTTTCCTCTTCTTTTTCCTTGTTCTTTTCCAACTCTTTCTTCTCTCCTCTTTGACATGTCTTCTATTCTCCCAAATGCTTAGATAAATTTTATTTTATTTTATTTCTTGTTAAGGTTCTTGGCCATCTGGTACCTTAAAGTAGAATTTTACAAACCCCCTTGACATCGAGTGTCCACACCTGGTCCTTGCATACATACCAATTACACAACTGAGGAGAGCTTACTGTTTACAATCCATCCACACAAATAATTCAATGTTATATTAGTTCTTTTACAGCCAATGGCAAAAACATTTAGAAATGGATGGCAGGGGGAGGGTAAATATTTTGGCTATGGTACAGGGAAATCTAATTGGTTGAGATGTAGAATTGCATCTGCCAGATTGGCCTTTGTTTGCACCATCCTGTAATATGTTGGATGTGTTGGGCTGGTCAGTGAGAAGGAAATCTATCCAGGCTGCCTCTCACCATTTGACTTCGGTGCCTGAGTGGATGGTGGTGGCACTGGGAATGCAGGAGGAGGAGAAGTTTGTGTGGGCGATAGATTGGGAACAGGTTTTAGGCATGTGGGGCTTTAAGGGTCTTGGCAGCAATCCCGATGGAAATCGCCAGCAGGCAATTGGATATGTGTTACAAATACTTAAGGTTCACCCTAGTCATATTGTTCTAGGATTTAGACAATTAGAACATAGTCTCTTCACGAATATAACCCCCAGGAAAGTTTCCCCTGAGAGTTATCACCACTTTTATTTATTGCTCTTTTCTTTTTTTGAGCATTGCATGTTCCTTTCGCTCTTCCGCAGTACATTTTTTTACACCACGCATGGAAAAGACACAACTTACACTTCTTTGACGGTAGACGTTACAAAATTCCATAAGATGATCACACCATGTAAGGTTCCAGCGGCTATCAAATTATATCCTTCTACTTGTAATATATCAATGCAGTTCACTGCAATATCGATGGCAGGATTCTGAGGAGAGAAGGAAACGGACTCACCAACTGTCATAGTATCTAATCACAGTACAAATGCTATGTGCACACTTTGCAATTGTCATTGACTTAAGACAATTATTTAACTATTATAATTTTTTTAATTCTTGAGCATAAAATTTAGTAAAATCTATTCTTTCTGGCATTAAACGTTTTTAACTTGCAAAATTCCTTAAAACAATAAAATACATTCTCCCTCTTTACTCGCTCCTTTCTCTCAGCCTTGATTTATTCTTCTTTATCAATCATTAGGTTACCTTCTCATCTTTCTCTTCCCTTCAAACTTTTTGAAAGAACATCCAACATTCGCTTTGCCTACTTACTGACCTTCCTTTCAATTGACAACTCTCATTGTCTGGCTTCTGCTCCAGCCATTCTGTGGGAGCTTTTTCTATTTCTCACTAAGGACTTCCTATTGTCAGTTCTATTTGATACTTTTCAATTGTCTTGCCTCAAGCCTTTGTTGGGCACCTACTCTGTTAAGTTCTTAGAATACAAAGTCAAACAGGATGTCTATGACCTGGAGAAACTTGTAATAATTTAAATTATTCAGATAAAGTGTTGATTTCCGGGCAATTTGAAAGTGCTATGTTAGGAATGCACAACATTTGATGGAAACAAGGAAGAATGACATCTAAAAAAGATTAGAGGTCTATTACCACTCCTAGTTGCTCTTTTCTTCCTGAAATTCCTTACTCTTTTGACATCCTCAACACCAAGTTTTTCTGGTTTTGCTTCTGTCTCTATGACCCTTCCTTTCCTGTTTCCTACTTGGTTCCCTCTTACTCTGTGAACATTTAAAATGTTAGTAACCTTAGGGCTTACCTCCGGTTCATTTACTTTTTTCTTTTTTCCAACTCTTGCTGAGCAAACTCATCCCTTTATGTTTTAATAATCATCTCAATGTTAATCACCTACTAATCTAGTCCAGTCACCTCCCACAAGCTTCAGGCTTGTATGTGTAATTACTTACATATTTTTACAGGTATCTCAACGTTAATATGTCTAACATCACCTCCTTTAAGCATGTTCCTTTACATTATTCTTTATCTTTTGAATGATCTCCATCATTCAAGGTAGAAATCCTGGAGTCATCCTTGATTCCTTCCTTACTCTCAGTATCCTCCTTTCTCAACTGCACGGCATCAATCACTAATTAATCAACTGCAAGTTCTGCTACTTTTACTGCCCATGTATTTTTTGAAGCCATTTTTTCCTCACCATCTCTGCTATATGGCCTTTCAACCAAAACAGTAGTCTCTTGCCAGAATCTTCTGCCATTAGTCTTATCCCATTCAAATCTATCATCCAAGCAGCATCGAAGATGAGCTACCCACAACACAAATCTGATCGTGTCATTTCTCATTTAAGCCTTTTAGTGGTTTTCCATTTCTTCAATGGTAAGGATACCCAGGCTCCTTACCATTGCAAACACGGTCCAGTCCCTATGGATTTGTCCATCTTCCCCCACTCCCACTCTTACTCTAGCCACCAGGAGATACTTGTAGTTATCTTTCACAGACCATGTAGCATATTGCCTCCATAACTTCATTCATGTGTCCACCACTTGGGATCCACTTTGCCTTTTAACCTCCCTCTAGAAATTCCCTACCTGGGCCAAGGTAACTCCTGATAATTCATTAGATTTAATTCAGCAATTATCTTCTCCAGGAACATCCCCCTCTCCCCAGCCTTCTAAGATCTCTGCTGTACTTCTATAGTACAGGTACCATACCACATTAATCTTGGCATTCAAGTGCTGAAAACAGTGCATGATACATAGTAGGTATTTAATAAAAAGTACTTCATGGCCGGGTGCGGTGGCTCACGCCTATAATCCTAGCACTCTGGGAGGCCGAGGCGGGCGGATTGTTTGAGCTCAGGAGTTTGAGACCAGCCTGAGCAAGAGCGAGACCCCGTCTCTACCAAAAATAGAAAGAAATTAATTGGACAGCTAAAAATATATAGAAAAAATTAGCCAGGCATGGTGGCGTGTGCCTGTAGTCCCAGCTACTCAGGAGGCTGAGGTAGGAGGATCACTTGAGCCCAGGAGTTTGAGGTTGCTGTGAGCTATGATGACTCCACGGCACTCACTCTAGCCCGGGCAACATAGTGAGACTCTGTCTCAAAAAAAAAAAAAAAAAAAAAAAGTACTTCATAAATATTAATAAAAGAGTTTTAGAGAAAGAATTTCCGTGCACAATCCAATTTTTTTCCTAAGGGACTTTTGCAAATTTTCTACCTATATTGTAATTTTAAAATATCTTGCAAAAAAGGATATGCTATCATACTAATTATGACAAATACAAAAAATAAGGGTTCAAAATCAGAGATAATTTGCACTTGCATTAAAATCCTAAAGGACAATTTTATTGTCCTTCAATTATTTATTCTATAACTTATTGTAATAGTTTTATTCTTTTTTTGGAAACAATCATTTTATATTACCCATGCAATTATTTGCCAGCTGCCTTGTTTCTGACTCACTACACATTCATCTTCTTTCTGTTTTCATTGGCTATAAATAAGGGTTCATATATCAAAAACATATAAGTGAACCCAGCGTTTCCAGTGATGTGTAGAGTTGGGAAGAGAAGTAGGCTAGAATTACTCTATGAAGAGATGCATTTTGTTCCATTTTTTGTGCACATTACATGGTGATGTTATTATGACAAAGTCACTGTATATATTGATTTCAAAGTCCTTTTAACTAACAATGAAACTTACTTATTTAAACTAGCAATAGTAAAATTCAAATTGCAGTGCTAAAGTGACATTTGTTTCAATATTAGGAAAAATAATACAATATCTCTCTGTCCTAAGATAAAATGATAGTTTCCAAATTCTATAACACAAGCTGTATTATTCTCTCTTAAATTATGTTATGGTTGTTACACTAATGGCAGGGAAGAAAAAAGACTTTAATTGCTCCCTCTATGACGGCAGTTTCCTTGCATTCTTCAGTGTCTGACTACTTATCACCGTAAAAGCTGAAAAAGATCATTGGTTTGAGCTAATATTAGAGCCAGCAAAGTTGATGAAGACGCTCATTGAAAAAAAATCAATTGGTTTATATTTTTATAGGAACAAAAAGGGACAGCTTTCTTATTTCTCTATTTTGCAGCATCAAACATATGCCCCAAACACTTCATCCCTCATATGTGCACACATTAGCCTGTCTTGTTGAGGAAGTGTCAGCATCTCACAAAAATAGCTTTCCGAAGAGATTTTAAATTAAGTTGTCTAACTCAATATATATGGCTACTTCCCTGAAATATTTTGAAAGGCATCCAAATTCCAGTTAGTACAAGCACACCTCGTTTCATTGTGTGTCACTTTATTGTGCTTTGCAGATATTGTCTATTTTGTGAATTGAAGGTTGTGGCAACCTTGCGTTGAGCAAGTCAACTGGTGTGATTTTTTTTTTTTTTAACAGCATGTGTTCACTTTGTGTTTCTGTGTCACATTTTGGTAATTTTTGCAATATTTCAAACTTTCTTATTATTATTATATCTGTTATGGTGCCCTCTGGTCATCGATCTTCAATGTTACCACTGCAGTTGTTTTGGGGTGCCGCAAACTGCACTGATAAGACGCCAAACTTAATGGAGAAATGTTGTGTGTGTTCTGACTGCTCCACCATTCCTCTCCCTCTCCCTCTCCTTCGGCCTCCCTATTCCCTGAGACACAAGAATATTAAAATTAGGCCAATTAATAACCCTACAATGGCCTCTAAGTGCTCAAGTAAAAGGAAGAGTTACACATTTCTCACTTTAAATCAAAAGCTAGAAATGATTAAGCTTAGTGAGGAAGGCACATCGAAAGCTGAGATAGGCTGTAAGGTAGGCCTCTTTCACCAAATAGCCAAGTTGTGAATGTGGAGGAAAAGTTCTTGAAGGAAATTAAAAGTGCTACTCTAATTAACACACAAACGATAAAAAAGTGAAACAGCCTTATTGCTGATTTGGAGAAAGTTCGAGTGGTCTGGATAGATCAAAACAGCCACAACATTCCCTTAAGCCAAAGCCTTGTCCAGAGCAAGACCCTAATTCTCTTCAATTTTATGAAGGCTGAAAGAGGTCAGAAGCTGCAAAAGAAAAGCCTAAAGCTAGCAGACATTGGTTCATGAGGTTTAAGGAAAGAAGCCATCTCTATAACATAAAAGCGCATGGTGAAGCAGCAAGTATTTTTGGAGAAGCTGTAACAAGTTATCCAGATGATCCAGCTAAGATAACCGATGAAGGTGGCTACACTAAACAACAGATTTTCATTGCAGGCAAAAGAGTCTTCTGTTGGAAGAAGATAGAGGAGTCAATGCCTGCCTTCAAAGCTTCAAAGGATAGGCTGACTCCCTTGTTAGGGGCTAATCAGCTGGTGACTTTAAGTTGAAGCCAGTACTCATTTTCCGTTCTGAAAATCCTAGGGCCCTTAAGAATTATGCTAAATCTACTCTGCTCTGCCTGTGCTCTGTAAACGGAAAAACAAAGCCTGAATGACAGCACAACTGTTTACATCATGGATTACTGAATATTTTAAGCCCATTGTTGAGACTTACTGCTCAGGAAAAAAGATTCTATTCCAAATATTACTGTTCATTGACCATGCACCTGGTCATCCAAGAGCTCTTGCGGATATGTACAAGGAGTTGTTTTGTTTGTTTTTAGCCTCTTTACTTCCATGGATGTACAAGGAAATTAATGTTGTTTTCATGTCTGCTAACACAACATTCATTCTGCAGTCCATGGATCAAGGAGTAATTTCAGCTTTCGAGTCTTATTATTTAAGAAATACATTTTGTAAAGCTATAGCTTCCATAGATAGTGATTAATCTGGACAAAGCCAATTGAAAGCCTTCTGAAAAGGATTCACCATTCTAAGATGCCATTAAAAACATTTGCAATTCATGGGAGGGGGTCAAAATAGCAACATTAACAGGAGTTTGGAAGAAGTTGATTCCAGCTCTCATGGATGACTTTGAGGGATTCAAGACTCCAGTGGTGGAAGTCACTGAAGATGTGGTAGAATAGCAAGAGAACTGGAATTAGAAGTGGAGCATGAAGATGTGACTCAATTGTTGTAATCCATGATAAAACTTGAACAAATGAGGAGTTGCTTCTTACGGACAAGCAAAGAAAGTTGTTCCTTGAGATGGAATCTACTTCTGGTGAAGATGCTGTGAATATTGTTGAAATGACAAAAAAAAAAAAAAAAGATTTAGAATATTACATAGACTTAGTTCATAAAACAGCGGCAGGGTTTGAGAGGACTGACTCCAATTTTGAAAGAAGTTCTACTATTGCTGTCAAATAGCATCTCATGCTACAGAGAAATGTTCCATGAAAGCAAAAGTGAATCAATGGGGCAAATTTCATCATTGTCTTATTTTAAGAAATTGCCACAGCCACCCAAACCCTCAGCAGCCAGCATCCTGATCGGTCAGTAGCCATCCACATCAGGCAAGACCCTCCACCAGCAAAAAGATTATGACTTGCCGAAGGCTCAGATGATTGTTAGCATTTTTTAGCAATAAACTATTTTTTAATCAAAGTATGTACATTTTTTAGACATAAGGCTATTGCACACTTAGTAGACTATAGTATAGTGTAAATATAACTTTTATATGCACTGAGAAACCAAAAATTTTGTGCGATTCTATTGTAATATTCGGTTTATTGCAGTGATTTGGAACCAAACCTACAATATCTCCAAAGTATGCCTCCTGTTATTAACCTTTTCTTGGTACAAACACCTCAAGAATCTTTTTAAAAAAGTTATAGTGGAATACAACTCAGACATAAAAGGGAGTGAGCTACTGAGACATGCAATGACATAGGCAAATCTCAAAAGCATTATGCTAAATGAACAAAACCTTAAATATAGACCCTATTATTCCCACTTCTGTGACATTCTAGAATAGGAAAAAACAACTCTTTCATGAAAAAGATTAGAACAGTGGTTGCCTTTGGCTGAGGAGCAGGTATTGACCAGGCAGGGGCATGAAGAAACTTTCTGGGGTGACGGTGATTTTTTTACTTTGATAAGGGGTTGAATTGTTTTTGTTCTTCTTTAAAATCATTAAATAACACACTTAAATTTTGTGCATTTTATTTCATGTTAATTTCCCTGAGAAAACATAAACAGTGAACGCTAGTTAAGGATGCATATACATATCAGGTGATACGACCAATGCCTTCATCTTACTTTGAAATGTATTTTCAAAATAAGATGGATTGCAAGTAATAACACCAGAGCAACAGGAGAAGCTTTAAAAAAAAAAAAAAGAAACCTATGAAAAGAGAAAGCTGGAATTTTATTAACTGACTTCGAAAAGTCTAGTTAAAATTATGATATTAAAATAATAAAAATTAATAATTGGCCAGAAAAAGTGGACGATCATTTTATGACCTTCTGATATGGTCCCAAACTTAACTTTCTTACTAAAATCTAAAAGAATTTTAAAGACCGAGATAGTTTTAGAGAGATGAGTTATTTTTAGATAGATGAGCTATTTTTAGATCCCTAAATGAAGCCTGAAGAAGCCTGTGATTGTTTCCGAGACGTAGCTCCTGATAACCAAAAGCCTCATCTGCGCCCAGCTTTTCAGAAGTTAGCATTGCCATGGCAAACATGTAAACACTAATAAGAAATTGGAAAAATATTTGGAACTTATATCACAAAGGACTGATATCCGTAGTATCTACCTAATTATTTATACATACATATATTTTCCTAATATACCAAAATATTTTAAAACATTAGAAAAAAAGAATAACAGCTTAGATAGAAAAATGTACAACATCAGCCTGGAACATCTTGTCATCCCCAGAGCTATCCAGAACTACTGGGGTCTTTGCAAAAGAACTGAGAAAGCTGACGAGGCTGTAACCAGCTTGAGATGGGACTATTGGGGCATTCATAATAATAACAAATGCAATTGACTGGAACACATCAAAAATATTGAATTTGTGAGTTGATAATGTTATTCAATAAACAAAATTCACTGACCACCTTTGGAAGATGCTGGAGAACCTATCCCTTATTTTGAAAACTGATAAATATAGGGAACAAGTCATCAATTATTTTGCATTTCTGTATAAACTGTACCTCAGTGTAACCAGATTTTTGATGGAGAGGTTTTCTCTAAAGACACATTCTGGTAATAAATGAAGTGGAACAGCAAAATGGCAACTCTGAATGAAATAATAGACACAGGTAGTCATCATCAGTGGCTGCTGATGCACCAAAAAAGACAACCAGTCATTATATGAATCAAGATGGAAGTACACGACACCATTTACGAAGGGGACTTGCTGAGGAAAGAAAGAGTTGCAGCCAATTAAGCCACCAGCTTTAACTACCAGAGTGCAGGAAGTACAGAGGAACGTCTTAAAAGACAGCATGAGGGTACAATCAGCAAACTCCAGAAATTGAGTAACTATGGCACCAACTGTCCAGTTTCTTTAATACTTAAATTGTAAGGAAAGAAAGAGAGCTGGAAAGATATTCATAGATTAAAAGATATTTAATAGATTTATCAACCAAGTGCAACAAATGGACTTCGTGTGGGTCTTGATTGAAGCAAACTATAAAAACAAATCATGAGGAAATCTGGGAAATACGAACACTGAGTGCATATGCGATGATATTAAGGAATTCTTGTAGATTATTTTTAAAATATTTTAGAAAATAATGGTCCTATTATCATTTTTGAGAGTCATTATTGTTCAGAGATATATCCTGAGATATAGAGAAATGACATGACAATGTCTGAGACTTGCTTCCACATCCATTGGTCATGGTCCTGGGGAAGCAGTGAGAAAAGAAATGTTTGGCCAAGCACAGAACATTTCTGAAGCTGAGCAATGGTACGTAGAAGTTCTCTATATTGTTTTCTGTATTTGTGTATATGTTTGTAACTTTTTCATAACAGAAAGTAAAAATTTGCAAAAAAAACAAGAGATGAAACTTACATTAGTGTGTGGTGAAAACTTTCTCTCAACTATTAACTCGACATCTGGGAAAGGAAGAGCCATGTTCCTGTCTCTACGAGACATCTTCAGACGCACAATGTGACTCCCATCTCGCAGGAAAGGCACAGCGTCAGGCAGCTCCCATATCACCATGAGGTAAATATCATCTTCCTTGCCCTTTAATAGAAATCCAGGGGGTACGTGAAAAATTCAATTAATTATTTTATTTTGAGTTGTTTTAAAGAGATAGAGAAATATAGCACATGCTCTGATATATCCATGAACCAGTTTTATCAAATCTTAAGCCCTGTCTATCCCTTGCTAATACAATTTATCTTTCTTCCCTGAGTAACCAGTAAGCTGAATATGACATTAGTCATGAAAATTTCATTATTTCTACATATGCACACATATCTTCTACATATATATGATATTGCTTTCAAACTTTATGATGTTATCAAACTATATGGACTTTTCTTCGACTTGCGTATTTCACTCAATATTGTGTCTTTGAGATTTATCCAAGTTATTTCATGGAACTCTAGTTCTTTTATTTTTAACTGCTTTATAGTATTGTATGAATACATTACAATGTACTTATCCATTCTCCAACTGATGGATTCAGGTTGTTGTCAATTTTTCGCTGCTTGTCTTTATGGACAATTTTTCTCTGCTTGTCACTGGGTGCCATAGTGTCTACGGCACATGCCTAGAGTATAATTACCTCACTGTGAGATATGCACATCATCAACTTTGATATCACTAAATACTCTTCTAGATGGTGTTATCCATGTCCATTCTCACCAAGAATAGATAAGAGTTCCCCTTTCTTCACATTCTTTCTAACCCTTGGTCTTAATTGATTAATTTTTTTTTTTTTTTTTTTTTGCCGATCTGATGGATTTGAAATGGGACATTTAAAAACTAGTTTTAAAACGTATTAATTGCATTAATCACATATCCCTAATTTAGTGACTTAAGCATTTTTTCATGTGTCTGTGAGCCATCTGGGTTTCCTTACCTGTCCTTCGTCCATTTTTCTATTGGGCTGTTTTTCTTCTGAATTTTTGGAATTTCTTTAGATATTCTGGTTACTAACCCTTTCTCAGTTACCTGGGGTGCAATGGTCTTTCCACAGTCTGTGACTTGTCTTTTCTCAGTGTTTTTAAAGATGAGCTTTTATTTTAAATTTTAATGTAGTAGTGATACCTTTGTGATATCCCATTTGTGAATATAGTATACCTCTTCATTTATTCCATTGGGTTTTTTTGTTTGATTTCCTTCAAGGTTTTTTTTTTTTTTTAAAACACAAAACTCTTGCATATTTTTTGATAAATTTATTTTAGGTACCTTATATTTTTGTTTGCTATTGTAATGTGATCATTTATTCTGCCTGTGCTTCATTTTTCTAAGTGGTTATTATTGGTGAGATGCCATCAATTTTTGATTTTGAATTTTTGTATGGGAATAAAAGCCAAATTTTTTAAGTTGGTGATTTTTCTCTCAGAGTAGGATCTTTCTAGGTTGAAAAGTAGCTGTGGAAAAGTAGAGAAAATATTCCAGGAGTGAAGCCATCAGGTTTCTAATCTTAGTTCTAGTGGGACCTTAAGCAAGATACATATCTTGTTTGGCTTTATTTTTTTATTTGTAAAATGAGGTCTTCAGCTAGTTGATGGATAAAACTACTTCCATGTTTTAAAGCTTTATGATTCTAGGTATAGCCCTGGGCCTCTATTGTCTCATATCTATGTTAATTTAAAATATGGGCCAATAGTACTCCTGCCTATTTAGGAATTCTTTGGTTAGAGTGTGTGCCATTGTGAGAGCAGAATGAATCTCAACAACATCCAAAGAGTGACCAGATATCCATACGTTCAGTAATAGGTTAGTTAGATTCATGTGCTCCCTTGATGTTGTGGTTGGCTATAGTGGTTTTAATAGGTTTAACTGGTTTCAACTGAACCACTTAGGACAGCACCTCTCAGACTTTTCTGAATTCATGGAGCAGTAACATTTAAAAAACAATTTTTGAAGATTGACTACAGTTATTAACATTTAATTTTACCAAGTTATTAACATTTAATTTTTACCAAGTAAAACATTTGATTTTACCACCATTTAATTTTTACGAAAGAGAGGGGAATGGGAAACTCTTACTATCATCATTTTATGAAAAGAAAGGCTATTTTAATACAAAACAGTAGGGAAGATACATTCTTAAAATTTAAAAAACAAATTAGCTTTGTGAAAAATTACTGTTATTTTTTATATTTCACCCCTAATTAGTGAAACCTTTTATCTTAGGTTGGTATTGGCAGATAGTCCTTACGGAACCAGTGATCTAGGAAAATAGCAGTTCACATAATACTGAGAGCATGTATTATGTTAATTGCTTCATTAAGAAAGATCTTTTTCTTTAAGGAACACACAACAGGGGCTATCTAAGTAGAATCATAAAGTAATGTGGATAAAAGGAAGGACAAACAAAGAGAAGTAAGTTGGTCTTTAGAATTTGAACTATTTTGGGTTCAACTAATCATCTTCTTTCTGAACTCCCACAGTGCTTCATTCATAATGTTAGAACAATAATCTCCCACCAACCTATGGTTTTGTCAATAAGAATTTGGGGGCAAACCTACCTCAAATTTACCAAAAGTTTTATGTAGACAGAATCCCCTTAAAACTGAGATTACGAAAAAATTATTTCCTTTTTTTGTGATCTATGAAGTTGTATTAATAGGCCAATTTGTAATCTGTCCTCTTATTACATTAGCTTGAAGACTATGCCCCAAAAATTTAGTACAGTGATAATTTGTGCCCAGACCAGGAAGTTGCACAAGCATTTTTCTAAGACTCCAGAAAATAAAATCAAGAAGAATGTAAGTAAAAGAGAGTTATTACATTTAAGCCATTAAGAACTGTTTGAGCATGTTAAAAAGTACGTAAAACTTTTGGAGACTCTTTCTCAGCTGATAATGTATCAGCAATGTTTCCTAAATAATGAAATGTGATAAATGGAAGGACAAGAGATTTGGAAGGTAGAGTCAGGAGACCTAATATGCAAACAGTATGAGCTGCTGGATTAGGGAAAAAGAACAGATATAAAAGAGACATTTGATAAACAAATAATAATATAAAAATTCCCAGAGCTGGAAGAAATGCTTAAGATTACAGATTGAAAAGTCTCCTTTGGAATTGAGAAAAAATAAGCACAGCCTTTAGACTTCAAGGACAGAAATGATATCTTGTAAGTATTCAGAGAGAAGTAATAAGTTACTTATGAAGGAACAAGAATCAGAACATCGTTGAATTTATCATTGGCCATATTGTCACAGAAGTGACATATACAGACTTCTCAATAAAATGTCCTATAACTCAACAATGCCAAAATGTTTTCCAAGGGTGGGTACCAATTTACAGCAACATTAGCAGTATATGAGCACTACTATTGTTCCACAGCCCTGCTAAAACTTGGTATTATCAGACTTATTTATTTTTATTTTGTTTTGTTTTGTTTTAACTTTTTTTTTTATTTCAGCATATTATGGCCAAACTATTGGGTGTATAATGTTATTTATTGTAATTCTAATTTGAATTCCCCTGATTACTAATGAGATTTGGCAGCTTTTTATATGTTTACTGACCATTTGGATTTTCTGTTTTTTGGAGTACCTACTTTTTTTTTCATTTTTCTATTGAACTGTTTACCTTATATTTTATCTAAGTATTTCGTATATTAATCCAGTTGGATACTAATCTTGGTTTAATGTAGTCAAATATATTCATCTTTTCCTTTATAATTAGTAATCTTTGAGTTTTATTTAAGATATTTATTTATACTGAGGTCATGAAGACCATCTTCTATGTTAATTGCTAAAAATTGTATTGTTCTGCCTTTCAATTAATAGCTTTAAGTCATTAAACCACAAGGAATGGATAGTCTTAGATGGGAAACCAAAATTTGGGGTATTTTTTTTCCATATGGTTTTCTAGTAGCTCCAAAATCATTTATTGAAGAGCCTATCCTTGCCACACAAATCTGCTGTGCCACTTCTGTCATATGTGGACTTGTTTTTGTTCTGTTGCTCTTCTTACTGTGCCCAAACCTTGTTGTCTTGTTTCCTCATGTACTTGATTATTTTGCCTGTGGCCTGAGATGAAGAAGGTACCTTCCTCTGGAATGGATGTGTGTTTGTTTCTGCCAGATGCCTGGTGGAACTACCAGTTTTGGACCATCTTAAATGAGATTTGCATTGATATGCATTGATATTCTGGTTTGCAAATGCATATGAGAGTCTACATGGGGCCACAGTTTCTCAGGGACAGGATTTTCCCAAGTCTGTTTTCCTACTACTCCTTTTCCTTTTTATCTTACTTGGTTCAGTGTCAGATAGTTACAGATAATGTAACTTTTGGGAACCAGCATATTGTGTCTGTGGTATTTAACTCCTTGTCTTAGGTAGGCCTTGGACTTTGACATCTTTGGCCTCTCCTAATCTGCCAAGCCTTTGAACCTCAGTTTGTTTTGGAAAATGTCCTCGGGGCAAAAGCAGCAGTGGTGTTTTGGTTCTTCATTTACTTCTCTCAGTCTCCACTTTCATTTAAATTTTAGTCTCCTATTTACTTACTGTATTGTTAGCTCTTTCATGCTAGTTAGGAGATTTAAAACATATTTTATCAGAACTTTTAGTTGTTTTCAGTGGGGAGTTGGTCTGAGTAATCTAGCACATCAATACTATTTTCCTCAGAATCCTAGGAATCATTCCTAGCATATGTGGGAGTGCATGAACTATTTCTTGAATTGTGTTGAATTTAATTGGAAATCAGTGGAAAGAGAAATCTCCTTTGGATCCCAAGTTAGGCTGAGAACCACCCCAACATCATAAGCTTCTGTAGCACTTCGTGCAAGCACTCATAACACTTGTAGTAGGTGGATCAATGTCAATACTTATTAAATTGTCAATTCCATGGTGAAATGAAAGGTATATTTTTGGAACATGGCAAACATTTTTTAACTGGTCACTGAATGAATGAATGGATGAAAATATTCTAGAAAATAAGTATGTAAATCAAACCATATTTTTGAATAGGCAAACAATAATAATAAATAATAGGTAAATAATAATAATACATTAATAATAAATAAATAAGTGCTCTTTCAACATTATCCATATTGTAAAGCTGCCCCCTCCAACATTAGTCAAACTTTCCAAATACCCCTCCCCATATATTTACTATTGTCTATTTTACAAGAGGTTTCTTATATTTCCTCATTCTTTCCATCCTTAATGAGCACCTACTCTGGGCAGGACAAGAACACAAATATGAATAAGAGAGCTTCTCAGCCCTTATGAAGCTCAATCTACAGATTCTGAATGGAGATTCAGAATAATCAAAGTGAAAAATGCTACAGTACAACCCCTCAAAATTTTGACATGTCAGTAGTTCCATGTTACTGTTTGCAACCTATAAAAAAGGAGTATTTGTGACAACAGGGCTTCCTGATGACCAATTGCACCAACTTAAAGAAGGAAAATCAACATATTGCAGTGTTTTCAAGTGTATTGGTAAGAAATACCTTTCTACAGTGCCATTTTGGGTTGCTTAGACAGCAAGGGAAGAGTATATTACATCTGGGAAGTTTTTCACTGCTTTTTTCCATGCTTAAGGTCATCAGTTATCTTAATCAAGCTAGTACTTCATGATTGCCATACTAGTCAAGACGTTTTTCTGTTCTTAGCTGTCAGAAGGCAATGAGTCCTTGAGTTCTAGGTGACAGGGTGAGAGCCACTCAACAGCCAGAATAAATGATCTAGTCTAGCCTTCATTTTAAATTTGAAGAAGGCATTAGCATTCCTAGGTGGTAATAGATTCACAGGAAAAATAAATTAGCCTGCCTCAATCCTCCCAAAACAGCCCTGAGCAGATTGCATCATTAACCTTAAAATAAACAAAGCAATTTTAGTGACAAACTGAAAAAGTGACTTGAGCATCCCTGAATGCATTATGATTTATAAGGGACAGAGCCTGCTGGGGAGTGGTTCCACCAGTGAATTATTCCCAAACAAGGATAAAAACAATGTCAGAGGTGGCAGCTGTGAGGGAATTTGACCTTTCTGATACCAGCTTTAGAGGATCCGGACTAATACTTCAGCATAAGCCTGATTGGCAGGATGCTGTGGCTGGGTAGCTATTCTTTTTTCTCCTTTGCTTGAAACTGGGCAGTTACTTAGGAGCATCACAGGAAGACTGAGGATAAATATTAGCTCCAGCTGGCTGGCAAGAGAAGAGTTAAACGGGGGTTATTCACTGACTCATTTGATTTTCCCAAGGAGGGCACCTTCAGTACAAATATAAAGATGGGATCGTAAACCTGGATCATTTTGATGGTTCCATTGCGTTCCAAGGCGAGGACCAGGTACTGGTGCTTCTCCTGGGATTTGAGGAAAATCAGGCGTTGCAGCCAGTGCTCTTCCTCCTTCCAGTCTTTTCCCTCTGGCAGCACTTTCATTTCCTGCCCACTGCCAAAGTCCCAGATTTTGACTGTTCCTGGGCACACAGAGAAAAGACTATATGGGTAAAAATGATTTATAGAAAGCTTGGCTTTTGGCTCAGAGAAAATTCATCCAATTGAAAGCTTTCTGCGAAGAATTTACCCTATATTTATTTCCTACTAAGACTGATGGGTGAGTCTTCCCAGGCTTGCTGCGCACGAAATATATTTCTGGATGCCTTGATTTGTCACAGGCCTATAAAAAATAAACAGGGGTGAGGTAGCTCACTCCTGTAATCCCAGCACTTGGGGAGGTCGAGGCAGGAGGATCACTTGAGGCCAGGAGTTCCAGACCAGCCTGGGCAATAGCAAGACCCCATCTTTACAAAAATTTTAAAAAATTAGCTGGGTGTAGTGGCGTAGGCCTATAGTCCCAGCTACTTGGGAGCCTGAGGCAGGAGAACCACTTGATACCAGGAGTTGGAGGCTGCAGTGAGCTATGATGATGCTCCTGCACTCTAGCTGGGGCAACAGAGCAAGCCCCTTTCAAAAAACCCCAAACAAACAACTAAAAATATAAATAAATAAATAGGGGCAATGTCTTGAAATCTACCCTCAGACTCTCCTATCTGAGCTTTTTCTCTTAAGTGGATCTTTTCCGTCTTTATTGTCCCAATGTTTTCCAGTGTGCTAAACACTCCCTTCCCAACATGGGAATATTAGCAATCATGCCACAATTGTTATTTTTTTTTGAGATAGAGTCTCACTCTTTTTGTCTGGGCTAGAGTGCCGTGGCGTCAGCCTAGCTCACAGCAACCTCAAACTCCAGGGCTCAAGCAATCCTTCTGTCTCAGCGTCCCGAGCAGCTGGGACTACAGGCATGTGCCACCATGCTCGGCTAATTTTTTCTATGTATTTTTATTTGTCTGATTAATTTCTTTCTATTTTTAGTAGAGATGGGGTCTCGCTCTTGCTCAGGCTGGTTTTGAACTCCTGAGCTCAAACAATCCGCCCACCTCGGCCTCCCAGAGAGCTAGGATTACAAGCGTGAGCCACCGCGCCCGGCTGCAATTGTTATTAATGGTAAAAGATCACTCTAATAATCTGTCACATTTCCTAAGGTGCTGATTTTAGCTCTTATTGGATAACAAAAGATTTGAGGGAATCCCAGCAGGTAAGAAACTATCAAGTTGTTTTGTTGGTTGCATAGCAGGGAAATGAAAAAGGAGTGTCTAATTTTTTCTTACATTTGAAACCATACTTTCTGTTTGAAACCTCATCCCCAGTGTGATGACATTTGGAGAGGATTAGGTTAAGAGGTGGAGCCCTCATGAATGGGATTAATGCTGTTATAAAATAGGCCCCAAAGAGCTGCCTTGCCCCTTCTAGCAAATGAGGACACAGTGAGAGGGCACCGTCTATGAACCAGGAAGTGGGCCCTCGCCAGACATCGAATATCTGCCGATGCCTTGATCTTGGATTTCCCAGCCTGCGGAACTATAAGAAATAAATTTCTGTTGTTTAAAAACTCCCAGTTATGGCATTCTGTCGTGCCTGAATGGACTAAGATACTTTATCTATATTATTAACTTTATTCATTTAGGGGACCTGGATGAAGGGGCCAGAAGGGATGATAATTGGTGTAGTTGTAGAATGCCTATTTCTAGGTCATTGCTCAGTGCAGAGAATTATCTTCTCACATAGGTTTCTATAGTGGTCACTTCAGGTTTAGAATCCGGTGGACCACTCCTTACAGCTTACTCCTACTCCTTACTCCTTACAACACTTTTTCTGTCTTCCTTTAACCTTACCCCACCAACCCCCCACAAACTTCTTTCCCCTCAGTTCTAATCCTGCTGAACAGAGTATTTTTCCTGTGTTCTTTCCCTTCCCTCATGCCAGGTTCTCCCCATCAGCAACACTCACAACCCCCATCATTTGTTTGTCACTAACAACACCATTGATTAAGTACCCCCTGTATACCCAGCACTGCGGTAGGAGCTAGGGATATAAAGTGAATAACCATAGTTCCTTCCCTCAAGGCCTCTGTGGTATATAGGAAAATAGTCATACAAACAACTAAAAGAAGTTATCACATGCTCATACATTCCTGGGTTGTGCAGACCAGAGTCTCATGGTCCCCGTTGCCTTGGGACTTTGGCTATCCAATTTCAAGGGGCAGAGATCAGGGAGAAGTACTGCCCAGCTCTTCCTAGGTGGCAGGTGGGCGAGAATGAGAGGAGACAGGTTGCTTATAGGTAGAGCTGCTCCGGGAGTCAGAGAATTCCACTTTCTAAGGTGTCCTGGATCCTTGTCAATTTAATATATGCATTTCCGAGGAGGACAAACTATCAATATTTGAAAGAATTCTAGATTCTAAGACTAACAGTAAAATGTGGCTTGCTTACATGAAAATAATACTATCATCGATCATGTATTGAATTGCTTAATGCTTATGCCTGATGATGATTGTGTACGTTGCTCGGAATTTCCTGTATAACTAATTTTCGTATGCATGCAGGGTGTGCTTATGGAACGGTAAGTTTGCTTTCTTAAGAACTGTTCCACACGAAGGGCAGTTGCATTTATTCATACCCCATCAACTCAGCATTCGTGATTTTATTTCATGCTGTGTTGTCATCTGCTCACACTTTTAAAAATCACACTTTCACATCAGGATGCTCATTCAATTCATCAGTTGGCTTATGAGCCAGCACTTATTTAGTATATACATTCCATGAATAAATATATTCTGAGTAGTGTGTGCAGTTGGTCATATTGCCTAGATAAAGCAATTCTTTTATGGGGCTTCAGAACAAAGGGAGGTGAAAGGCAGGGCATCTCCTTCCTGGAAGTTCCGTGCAGTGCTCCGCAACACGAGGAACATCAAATGACATGACACAACCTGGGCCTGACATCCTCTCCAGTTTGACATGACACATGCCCTCCAGGAGCCTGGACACATATACAAGTCCAGTATAGAATTCCAGGGGTTATATAACAAAGTTGGCTGGGTATTTTATCTGGTCCAAAAATCTGCTGTCAGTAAAACCAGTGTTAGCAAGCACCGAATTTGATGTCTATCTCTTAGTCGACGGTAGCCAAGAGTAGAAGGATAGAATGAATTAGTGCAACACAGATGAGCCCCACCAAAGATTAAATGAGATGGTATATGTGAAAGACTTTTGCAAACCATTAAAGCAACTATATAAATGCAATGTAAGATATTGATTATTTTAATATCAATATCTAGACATTGATGCACATTAGATAAGAAAGTCTAGCAGTGTTCAATCAAGCACAGGAATTCTACTGGTAGGTTTACATATTCCAGCCTGATTCATGCTCTCCCACTACCCCAAAGAACTAATGAATACCTAGCACAAATTCTCAGAACACTAGCAGGGAGGCCATATTCTGGCTATTAGTCTGACCATTATATGCTCCTGTGGCAAAAAGAAATCCACTTTCATTGATAGCCGCAGAAGTCAGTTCAACATTCAAGCCATGAGGGTCTAAGATCTGGTAGATTTGGAGACCAGTCTCAAGTTCCCATACCTATAGGAAAGGACAAAAATATCAAATAATCCATATGCCCTTCAATTCTTATCAAAATTTTACCATATTCAAAACAGCCTCCAAATTGGTACTCGGCATATCTAATACCTTTCCCAACACTTGACCCTGAATGTTAGTTTGGTCACAGAAAGGTCTAAAAGGTAAAGTGCTGTCTACTAGTTCCTGTGCTTTCCTGGACTGTGTCTGCTGCAAATGTAGGTGGCTGAAACAGGCAGTGACTTTATTCCACGCAGCCCCTGGCTGTGGAGGAAGTGGTCAGTGGCTACTGTAAGTCTGAAGCCAGGCTAGGTGTAAGACAGACATGTAGCAATTACAAATGCAGCAGACAAAAAACCCAAACTGGATTTATTTTCGGTTGACATTCATCCAAAGTAGCCAGGGGGCACAGAACAGGCTCTGTGATTAACAGCATGGTACTAAGAGAATCCTGAGGAAAGAGCTCACTGACCTTTCCAAGGAGTGTTCTGATTAGGGACATGGGCCCGGGGAGGAGGGCGGAGAGGGAGAGAGAGAGGCTGAGACTTCAGAGGAGGCATCTGTGTAATTAGGCTGGTGTCATTAGAAAATCCAGAAACATGTCGAGACCCATTCTCCCTCTTTGGAAATACTGCAGAGGCTTTAGACCTGCAGACTTGTGTTCTGAGTCTCTCTCTCTTTAGGATCTGGCACGTTCAGATGTAAATTAGACTGCCAGTAAGTAAGAGAACTGAACTGGCAACACAGAATGGTTGCACTCTAGATACTGGGTGGATGGGGTGGGGGTGGGGACAGCATACGCAAAGGCCCCGAGATGGGAAGGTGCATCTTTCCTCCGGGGAACTGAAAGAGAGCTGTTGCAGCTGGGCGAGAGAGGGAGCAGGAAGGACATGTAGCTGATGAAATAGTCAGGGGGCCAGATGATGAAGGCCACGGGCTAGGAAGTGCTAGAGCTGGAATTTGGATGAAGACGATCTGGAGCCAGAGCCCAGGCTCTTAACCTCTGCGTGCCTGTGGTTATAGATGGAGTCCTTCAGGGAGAAGGAGGAATGTGGGTCACTGCATGAATGGTTCTCAGGGGTCACCCACCTCCTGGCGTGAAGTACCATCCCTCTCCAACCAATCAAGTATGAAAACTCACCTAGATGTATTCCTTTCCCCTCTTCTCTCCCAAACAGGGACCACATTTTCCCCTTAAGAGGTCAGTATTGCATGAAAGCAGGACAGGTTTTAGTTTTAGTTTCCTTTTACTTACTCTCTCTCTAGGCATTACTAGAAATAAGTGATAATTAACTAAACTCAGATTTGGGCCTGAGAAAATCTGTAGCAGATGAGCACAGAAGGTCAAAGACTGAGAGGGAATTTGAAGGGTCTCCGGAGGAATGCTCTCGACTGGTCCATACGTCTCCTTTTGGAGAACATGCATGAAATAAAAGGATAAATACTTGCAGCAAAAACCTCCAGCCATCACTACCAGATGACTTCAGTGGTCCTAATGACAGACACAGTTAGCATAGCCAAGCACATTGGCTTCTAGGGACACGGTGATGGCAGGGCTAGAGGAATGCATTGGAAAGAGCATGGGTCCCCATGTAAGACAAACTTGGGTTTATATCCCAGGCCTCTGGCTTATGCTCTGGAGCATGTTGCCTCATCTCTCTGAGTCCTCATTTCCTCATCTTTACAATCAAACTCTTTATCTATGCACAGAGAATTGCTGGGGAGATTAAATGAGATCCTAGACTTAAGGCTCTTGGCACATATCCTGAACCTGTAGAGGTTATATTAATGGTAAAGACCTGTACATTTATATATACTCTTTCCACAGCTAGGTTTAAAAAAATCAAACTACAGAATAGTTCTCTCTCCTTGATATATTTCCTTTAAAATTCCTGTTTTGATTGCAAGAACTAGCTTTGTTTATCCAATTGAGCATGTGGCTTGACAGCAAGCAGTCTGAGCTGGCTTATAATGCTTGGTTTTCATGTACTCATGAAAGGCTCTCTAATGTACAGTCTCATATGTGCCACTACCTTTGCTAAATCACTCAACGCTTTACTTTTGAGAAGAGAAAAGTCTATCTGCATTGCCTTTTTCTTCCTGAAGAGCTAATGTGTACTTACCTTAATTATGGATTCAGAGCAGATAGTGAGTACTTGGTGAAAATGTTTGTTATAAAGCATGACATTGATTTCTCGTTCATGCGTGTGAGGAATCTGTTTTGTATCTTGTATTATTCTAGTTAACGGATACATGTCCATCACATTAGACCCTGGAAAAGAAGCAAACATCTTATAAACAGCCAATATTAGTGGTTTTGTATCACAAAGGATTTTACACAACCAGCTGGGTTTGGAAACAGCCAATCGGTGAGATTAGAAATATCAATGCCTGAAAATACATTTGTTTATTCTAAAACATTTTTGAAAAAGTAAATGTGATTCAGCTAGAGAAAAGTGTTCATTTTCGACTTCGTTACTTTTCAAGTGCAGGCCATTTGGACTTCATTGGTATCCTTCCAGTGACCCTCATTTTCCTGTGTTTTAGAGTCCACTTTTTCCTTTCTTTGTTGTGCCTACAGCATGCCTCTCCATCTGGCTCACAGCAATAATGCACAGCTTTTTGCTGAAGGTAAGGTTCCATTTAGTCATTGAAATTTATTGTTACAGAGCTCTTTTCAACCAACAAATTGATAAATCATTCTGTAAATATGTTCTTATTAAACGTAATGAATGAGAATGATTGCAAACCAGGGCTTGCAACATCAAT